TCCTCCTGCCCTCAATCTTTCCCAGCATCAGGGCCTTGTCAAATGGTCAGTTCTTCACGTCAGGTGGCCAAAGTATTGGAGTTTCCGCTTCAACATCAGTCCTTCCAATGAATATTCAGGATTGATTTCCTTTAGGATGGATTGGTTGGATCTCCTTGCAGCCCAAAGGACTCTCAAGAGTCTTCTCCAACACCATGGTACAAAAGCATCAATTCTTCAGTGCTCAACTTTCTTTATAGTCCAAATCTCACATCCATACATGACTACTGGAAAAACCAAAGCTTTGACTAGATGGACCTTCATTGATAAAGTAATGTCTCTGCTTTTTAATATGCTGTCTAGGTTGGTCATAACTTATCTTCCAAGGAGCAACTGTCTTTTAATTTCGTGGCTGCAGTCACCATCTGCAGTGATTTTGGAGCCCCCCAAAATAAAGTCTGTCACTGTTTCCATTGTTTTCCCATCTATTTGGCATGAAGTGATGGGACCAGATGCCATGATCTTAGTTTTCTGAATGTTGAGTTTTAAGCCAACTTTTCCCTCTCCTCTTTCACTTTCATCAAGAGGCTCTTTAGTTCTTCTTCGCTTTCTGCCATAAGGGTGGTGTCATCTGAATATCTGAGGTTACTGATATTTCTCCCAGCAATCTTGATTCCAGCTTGTGCTTCATCCAGTCCAGCATTTCGCATGATGTACTCTGCAGATAAATTAAATAAGCAGGATGACTGTATACAGCCTTGATGTACTCCTTTCCCTATTTGGAACCAGTCTGTTGTTCCATGTCCAGTTCTAACTGTTGCTTCCTGACCTGCATACAGATTTCTCAGGAGGCAGGTAAGGTGGTCTGGTATTCCCATCTCTTGAAGAATTTTCCACAGTTTGTTGTGATCCACACAGTCAAAGGTGTTGGCATAGTCAATAAAGCAGAAGTAGATGTTTTTCTGGAACTCTTTTGCCTTTTTGATGATCTAGCGGATGTTGGCAATTTGATCTCTGGTTCCTCTGCCTTTTCTAAATTTAGCTTGAACATCTGGATTTCATGGTTCACGTACTGTTGAAGCCTGGCTTGGAGAATTTTGATCATTATTTTGCTAGCATGTGAGATGAGTGCAATTGTGTGGTAGTTTGAACATTCTTTGGCATTGCTTTTCTTTGGGATTGGAATGAAAACTGACCTTTTCCAGTCCTGAGTGCAGCACTTTCACAGCATCATCTTTTAGGATTTGAAATGGCTCAACTGGAATTCCATCACCTCCACTAGCTTTGTTTGTAGTGAAGCTTCCTAAGGCCCACTTGACTTCGCATTACAGGATGTCTGGCTCTAGGTGAGTGATCACACCATCGTGATTATCTGGGTCGTGAAGATCTTTTTTGTATAGTTCTTCTGTGTATTCTTGCCACCTCTTCTTAGTATCTTCTGCTTCTGTTAGGTCCATACCATTTCTGTCTGGTCATAGCAAACACCCTCTTCCAACAACACAAGAGAAGACTCTACACATGGACATCACCAGATGGTCAAACCAAAATCAGATTGATTATATTCTTTGCAGCCAAAGATGGAGAAGCTCAATACAGTCAGCAAAAACAAGACAGGGAGCTGGCTGTGCCTCAGATCATGAACTCCTCATTGCCAAATTCTGACTTAAATTGATGAAAGTAGGGAAAATCACTAAAACATTCAGGTATGACCTATATAAAATCCCTTAGGATTATACAGTGGAAGTGACAAATAGATTCAAGGAATTAGATCTTATAGAGTGCCTGAAGAACTATGGAAGTAGGTTCGTGACATTGTACAGGAGGTAGGGATCAAGACCATCCCCAAGAAAAAGAAATGCAAAAAAGCAAAATGGCTGTCTGAGAAGGCCTTACAAATAGCCATGAAAAGAAGAGAAGTGAAAGGCAAAGGAGAAAAGGAAGGATATACCCATTTGAATGCAGCGTTCCAAAGAATATCAAGGAGAGATAAGAAAGCCTTCCTCGGTGATCAGTGCAAAGAAATAGAGGAAAACAGTAGAATGGGAAAGACTAGAGGTCTCTTCAAGAAAATTAGAGATATCAAGGGAACATTTCATGCAAAGATGGGCACAATAAAGGACATAAATGGTATGGACCTAACAGAAGCAGAAGATATTAAGAAGAGATGGCAAGAATATACCAGCCCCCACTAACCTTGAAAATCCCGCATCACCATCAACTTGTTCTCATTCTTCAACTCCTCTATACAATTGGCAACCAAACTGCACCCTCCCTCTCAATCATTTCTTTGCCCCTATGCACCTGCCTTGGTCCATTCCGTGACCTGGACCTCTGACTGGTCACTGCCTGAATTCTAGCCAGCACCACTCTTGGCCAGACTGTCCTGTGCTCCGCCCCTGCAAGCCACTGATTGCAGGAAGACCAGTTATTCTTTGACATGCAGTCCACACCATGTCTTTCTTCGGTGCTCCCTGCTGGCTCCGAGCTGAAGTCTGCTCATCACGGTCGTGTGCTTCCACATATCTGCCCACCTGCCTGATGCTCTCTTGCCTTCATGCCTTTGACCATCCTGCCCATCTGGCTGAACTCTGACTCATCCCCCCTGACTAGAGTCAGAGGCTACCTTCTCAGTGAAGCCTCTTTTTCATTTACATTTCCCCCACTGAAGTACAGTAACATAGTGTAAAATGCACAGGTATTCAAAGTTGATGACTTCTGACAGCTGCATGCACCCTAATCAATCCACGGAGCATTGTCTCCCCATCCTGTCCCTCCACCATACTCTTGCCTCTGCCAGAGGCATCTGTTGATCTGACTTCTGCCATTTTCTACATCCTACAAACAGCAGACAGTCTTTGTTTCCATGTCTGTCTTCTTTCATTCAGCATAAACTTTCTGAGCCTGGTCCATGCTATTGTGTATGCGTATGTGCTCAGTCACTTCAGTCCTGTCTGACTCTTTGTGACCCCAAGGACTGTACCCCTCCAGGCCCCTCTGTCCATGGAATTCTCCAGGCAAGAATACTGGAATGGGTTGCCATGCCCTCCTCCAGAGGATCTTCCCAACCCAGGGATCGAACCTACATCACCTGTGTCTCCTGCATTGCAGGTGGATTCTTTACCCACTGACCCACCTGGGAAGCCCACTATTGTGTATATCTGTAGTTTATTCCATTTTGTTGCTGTGTAGTATCCATTGTACAGAGGGACTGCAGTGTGGTGGATATTTAGATTTCAGAGAGCCTGGGGGTGGTATGAAGCTGTCTTGATCCCTTTCTGTCCTTCCCTCCTCCAAGCTACGAAGGATTACAGCTTCTAAGTGGATCTGTCTTCCCCACTTAACTCTAAAGATAGTAGTAATAATTCAATTCAATTCAATAATTCAATTTCCTTGAGCACCTACATGTGACGGGCAGTGTGCCGAATGCCTGATTTCTGTCAGCTCGTCCCATCACTACAACAGTCCCACGTGGCATACAGTATCTTCACATCCACTGACAGACATGAAACCAAGGCCTGCAGAGGGCCAGTTCCTTGTTTAAGTTAACTCATCTGAAGAGGAGCAAAACCAAAATCAAGATCTACAGCCACCTGATGTCATTATTACAAATTCATAATACTACATGCCTGGTAAATAGTAGGCTCTCCCTGAATGTTCAGCGTTGATTTTCTTTAGGATTGACTGGTTTGATCTCCTTGTAGTCCAAGAGACTCTTGCTTGTTAAAAATTGAGATTTTATACTTTCTAAAGAAACCGAGTACTTGTCCAATATGGCAATGATGGGAATTCTCTAGCAGTATAGTAGTTAGGACTCCATCCTTCCACTGCAAGGGGCATGGACTCAATTCCTGATTGGGGAACTGAGAGCCTGAAAGCTACATGGTGTGGCCAACCCCCCCACCCCCCAAAAAAAACCAGGAACTTCCCTGGTAGTCCAGTGGTTAGCACTTCATGCTTCCAATGCAGGGGGTGAGGGTTTGATTCTTGAAGCCCCCTTGTGGCTCAGACGGTAAAGAGTCTGCCTGCAAAGCAGGAGACCCAGGTTCGATCCCTGGATTGGGAAGATCCCCTGGAGAAGGGAATGGCAACCCACTCCAGTAACCTTGCCTGGAAAATCCCATGGATGGAGGAGCCTGGCAGGTACAGTCCATGGGGCCGCAAAGAGTCGGACATGACCGAGCAACTTCACTTTCACTTTCTTTCTGGGGAACTAAGATCCCATATACAGTTGGGCAACACCAGAAACAAGCAAACAAAGCACATGGGAAAACACAACAAACAAACAAAACCCACAAATATGGTGGTTCCATATTTCCCTAGCAGTCCTGTGGACGGGACTTGGCCTTCCAATGTAGGGGTGTGGGTTTGATCCCTGGGTGGGGAGCTAAGATCCCACATGTCTCCTGGCCAAAAGACCAAAACATAAAGCAGAAGCAATACTGCAACAAATTCAATAAAAACTTTAAAAAAGTTCCACATCGGAACAAAGTCAAATATGAGATCTGTCTTTAGAAAATTTAAATAGTAAATGCACAGCTTCACTGACCACATGGCACCAAATGACTCTCAATCATGCCTGCAATGACTCTCAAACATGCAATCCTATTATGTCATCAAGGGGAACTATAATCACCTCCAAATGAATGAAAGTTCCTGGGTATTCTAAAGCAATTTCATTCAAGCTATAATTACTTACAGTAAGAACTGACAATTTTTAAACTCTCTGTAAGGTAACTGTTGGGCTTCCCAGCTGGCACTAGTGGTAAAGAACTCGCCTGCCAATTCAGGAGACATAAGAGATGCGGGTTCAATTACTGGGTCGGGAAGATCCCCTGGAGGAGGGCACGGCAACCCACTCCAATATTCTTGCCTGGAGAATGCCATGGACAGTGGAGTCGGGCGGGTTACAGTCCATGAGGTCGCAAAGAGTCAGACATGACTGAAGCTACTGAGCATGCACGCATGCAACGTAACTGTCAGGGTAAGTGCTTAGGTAACAGGAGGGCTGGCACCAGTCTTACCTGGCTTTGCGGATGTGCAGCTGAGGGTAGTGGTTTTGCCTGTGACATACATGCACAGCAAAGTCCTCATCATTCGTCAGGCTTGGGACACACCCCACTTGGCTGAACACGGTTATGAGAGTGGAGCCTAAATCCCAGAGACAAAGAAATGAGGCCTGGATTTACCAAGAAGTAACTTCAGGGCTTCGAGAAAAATGAAGCTTTCACTCTAACATGTGTTGTTTGTTTGTTTTGTTTTTTTGATTGAAGAATAATTGCTTTACAGAATTCTGTTGTTTTCTGCCAAACCTCAACCTGAATCAGCCATAGGTATACATATGTCCCCTCCCTTTTGAACCTCCCTCCCACCTCCCTCCCCATCCCACCCCTCTAGGTTGATACAGAGCCCCTGTGTGAGTTTCCTGAGCTGCACAGCAAATTCCCATTGGCTGTCTATTTTACATATGGTAATGTAAGTTTCCATGTTACTCTTTCCATACATCTCACCCTCTCCTCCCCTCTCCCCACATCCATAAGTATATTCTCTATGTCTGCTTCTCCACTGCTGCCCTGTAAACAAGGTTTTCAGTATCATTTTTCTAGATTCCGTATATATGTAACATGTGTTTTAATTGTTACAATCAGATGGGCATGTTACGTCTCAAGGACCTGGAGACCATTCTTATGTCCCATCCTCGATGCCCCATTTTAAGCATGAAATTCCTGTCTCAGCTCCTGGAGCTAGGACGTGGTGGAGGAGGCCTTACCAAGGCTCATGCAGGATGGCACGATGAGGAACACGAAGTGCAGGTCCGGCACCGCCTTGAAAACGGTCCTGGTGAGGGTAAGAGAGGGTCGGGGTGTCAGCAAGGTGACCTCGTGAGCCACTGAGGTAGGAGATAGATGGGCCTCGGGGGCAGACAGCTGGTGTCTGTCAAAGGGACTAAAATTCAAACTGTGTCCCCACCCAGAACTCCAAGGACAAAGCTAGTGGCAGAAGCTGAGCTCTGCTAAAGTAAAGAGATAAGATGACTACTCCCGAGGTCAAGGAAAACTTCCCTGTTCCCACATGTGCAGGAAGCCTTCTAAAAGGGAGTCAAAAAGGGAACATGCACCCCAGGCCTCTACAGTGGGATCTGTTTTAGAAAAAAGTGGTACATGCATCTTGGGGAGGGTCCTAGGACCAGTCAGGAGTGAGGAAAGAAACAAGGTAATTGGTCAATTGTAAACAAAGATCTGGAAGGACTGCCCATTACAAGTGCTTCAAAGCACCTCTTTACTGCTCTCCTCATTCAGGACCCCTCTCCAGGTATGCCCCGCCTTGTTTCTGCCTTCAATAAACTGTTTCTCTGGGTGCTCCCCAACATGTGAAGCTGCCCTCTTTAGTAATAAACTTTGTACCTATTTTTACAGTTTTCGCCTCCTTGAAACATTCTTGCTTTCGAATGGGGAAAGAGCTGGGGTCACTTTGCTTCTTAGCCTCCAGCCCCTGGGGGTCTGGCGGCTAGGATTCCTGGTTTTCATCCAGGCTACCCAGGTTCAGTTCCTGGGCAGGGAATGAAGTAAGATCTCTTTTCAGGACCACTGAGATCAGCACCTGAGTGAGACACATGCCTTCACTACAAAAATGAGACATTCGCCCGCCCCCGCCGGCCGGGGTGCTCTAGGAGCCGCGCGGAGACCCTCTGCACCCGTGCGAACATGGCGCTGCAAGCGGTGCGGAGCGTGCGGGCCGCAGTCGGCAGCCTGCGCGCCATCTCGGCACCCAGCGCGCCCTGCTCGCCGCGGCCCTGGGGACTGCGGGCGGGTGCCGTACGGGCACTGCGCACCGGCCCTGCTCTGCTGTCGGTGCGGAAATTCACAGAAAAACACGAATGGGTAACAACAGAAAACGGTGTTGGAACAGTGGGAATCAGCAATTTTGCACAGGAAGCTTTGGGAGATGTTGTTTACTGTAGTCTGCCTGAAGTTGGGACAAAGTTGAATAAACAAGAGGAGTTTGGTGCTTTGGAAAGTGTGAAAGCTGCTAGTGAACTCTATTCCCCTCTATCAGGAGAAGTAACAGAAATTAATAAAGCTCTAGCAGAAAATCCAGGACTTGTCAACAAGTCTTGTTATGAAGATGGTTGGCTGATCAAGATAACATTCAGTAACCCTTCAGAACTAGATGAACTAATGAGTGAAGAAGCATATGAAAAATACATAAAATCTATTGAGGAATGAAAATGGAACCCCTAAATAAACTACTTTGAAACAACTTAATCTAGCATAGTTGTCTTAAATTAGTGGTGGATAGATATTTAAAAAGCAACTTTTAGCAAAAGAAACTACTTGTAACAATGTTTCCTGAAGAAAATACCCCTTAACTTTCTAATGCCTTCAAATAAATACTGTATCTTTTCCACAGCATCCTGTGATTTTTAGGCTAGGGTCCAGTTATACTATTCAGAATTCCTGAAATTATCTCTGATAAAACTAATTACAAAAATTATGTAATTCAAGGATAACATGGTTATCTTATACCTTTTATGACATTGTAACTTGCTTACAGCTATCCTTGGATTTGGGTCAAAATGATCTTCCCACTAGAAATAACTAGCAGTGGAGAAAAGTTTGTTAGTTGTATAGTGTCCAGTGAAGAATATTACTGTCTTAACTTTGCAATATACTGTGTTTGCTGGTGCTATTTTTATACAGTGAAGCAACAGCCTTGCAGGAGAATAAACAATTTAATAATAAAATTAAAAAAAAAAAATGAGACATTCATAGATGCACCCAGGCGCTCTGCTCCCCACCGGCAAAGGAAACCTACAATTTCTTTCTCTTCTCTGCTTTTCTCTGGATTCCAAAAGTCCCCTTTTGTATCTATTCCATGGAGGTGGCAAGAATCAAGGCACCATGTCTATGCAGTGCACCAGATTTCTGCTGAGATTAACCTTTGCCCTGGCGTCTGGAGGTTCTGGTGTGACACTACAGAGGCCACCACCCCCAAATGTCAGAGATCCACCTCGGGAACTCAGCGGGTCATGTTTCCCCATGACCTGTTACTCACGATGTTCTGCCGGTTGTCCTGTTAATAACATGTCTCAGGATAAGATTGGGGGAAACTATTTTTACAAACATCTAAGCCTGTGACCTTTTTCTTTCCTTTCTTCCCCCAAATCCATGTTTTCCCAAAGGACGGTCCGACCTGTTTGCCTCCAGTAGTGGCAGTTAAAGGCATCCATTTAAAGGAAGGATTGTTTTCTTTCAGAAATTACACTGCTGTTCAGAGGAAATGCTTTACTAGAGCTGGAAAGCAAACAACACCTCAAAGAATTAGGACCTTTAAAAATATTTTTAAACTATCTATCATGTATGTGTATGGCAAGCCTGTCACAACATTGTTTATTGGCTATACTCCCAACACAAAATAAAAAGTTAAAAAAAAAAAGCAACCTAAACTTTAGTTCAAAAAAATATCTCTGAACTATCCAGATACTTAAAGACACGATAGAGACAGGGGCAAGTCTTGTCTGCGATGCTGCTACCAGCACTCCACATCACCGTCTGTGATGCCGTGGCCACTCACCAAATAATCTCTTTGCAACAGCCGACAGAATACTCATCCACCGCCACAAAGAGGTGCATGAAAAGTGTGTTCAGAGGCTGCAGAAGGAAACAGGACATGGTTAGAGGCTGAGTCAGAGCAAGGGGAGGGGTGGGGTGGGGGGAAGGTCTGGAGGTGGGCACAGCCCAGAGCTGCCTGGTGCTGGTGGAAGAAACTTTGTGTCTAAAATGAGGAAACTTTGTGTCTAAAATGACGAAACTTTGTGTCTAAAAACACCCAGGCAGGGTTCAAGCCACTTTCTGTCATCCTGTGAAGTCGTCTGACTCTTTGCGACCCCATGGACTGTAGCCTGCCAGGCTCCTCCATTCATGGGATTTTCCAGGCAAGGGTACTGGAGTGGGTTGCCATTTAGCTTGGACTTATTCAAGGAAATGGACAGCCTCTGTCCGGCCCTTCCTCCCGCCTCACTTCCAGCCACATGGCAGGGGCACGCCTACAGGGGAGTGAAACCGACTGTGAACTCCATGGTCTTGTCCTGGGCCGCTGCTGCCTAATGAAAGACAATCCTGGGACTCCCGGGTCAGCAGCTGCTGCTCTGTTCAAGTGACACCTGAGGGAAAGAGTCTCTCCCAAATTTGCAGGGTGGGAGGTAGATGCCTCGGTTATGAATCCAATGGCTTGTTTCGTTCCACATACCGAGAGTCAGAATCTAACCCTACTCTCAGGATCCAGAGAACCTGAGGAGGAAAACAAAGCAGCAAAGATTCTACTATGACTCTCAGGGTAAGATTTTAGGGTTTTTAAAGAGCTCTGCCCCATAGCTTTTGAAAAAAATTCTATCAAAGTATATTGTTGATTTGGGGGCATCTCTGAAGGCTCAGTGGTAAAGAATCCAACAGTAATGCAGGGGACACAGGAGACTCAGGTTCGACCCATGGGTTGGGAAGATCCCCTGGAGGAGGAAATGGAAACCCACTCCAGTATTCTTGCTTGGAAAATCCCATGGACAGAGGGGCCTGGTGGGTTACAGTCCATGGGGTCACAAAGAGTCAGACGCGACTGAGCACTGAGCACACAGTTGATTTACAATGCTGCGTCCATTTCTCCGGTACAGCACGCTTGTCCTGAAGACCTCTCAGCTGTTCTGTGCATCCCCACACTGGTCTGCTCGGCTCTGTGCCCCTGTGCTTACTGGCAAACCCTTAAAGTCTCGAGATGATGCAAATGGGAGGTGGCTGAGTGGTGAGGGGAAGGCAGTGCCTGTACCTCAGTCCAGACACAGCAGCACTTCTGTGTCTGTTTCCTGAGCAATTTCATAGGTGGCCTTGGGTAACCACTGGCATGTCTGTGCCTTGGTCTCCCCTCCTGTTGGGTGGCACGTGCCCTTGGAACACTCAGAAGGAGCTTATCAGGCGTACAACAGTGAGAGAATAATCATGAGTTAAGTTCATGAGCTTGAAAATTCCCCAAAAGTAAACAACGCAAACTCCAGAATCCAGATACCACCAGGGACAGTGAGTGACAAGGTAACGTCACAGTGTGAGCACTTCCTGTGCATAGACTCGCCTAACCCCGTGGCATCTTTTATATTCTGAACAGGACTTGGCTTACGGTACATGGCTTATCACTTGGCTGGTGTATTTCCCAAATTTTTTCTTCCATCAAAAATATTACAGTTCAATATTTATTCCTCAGCTTTAAGATAAAAACCATTATTTCAGTTGCAGATACCCCTGGGGTAGGTAATACATTAAGCCATAATGGTCTATACCTATGCTAAACAATGGGAAGATAATTCAAGCCACAAATGCTAGGTACATAAGTAATTTTCAATTTTCTATTAGATATATTTTTTTAAAAGGCATAAACAGGTTAAACTAATTTTAATGTATTTTATTCAATCTAATATATTCAAATTATTACCCTTTTAAGAAGCAGTCAGTCAGTATAAAACTTCTCAAGATATTTTACACTCTTTTTTTTTCCTACTGAGTGTTTGATGTCCAGAGTATGTTTTATTTGCATCAGTTCAGTTCAGTTCAGTCGCTCAGTGTGTGTCCGACTCTTTGAGACCCCATGGACTGCAGCATGCCAGGCCTCCCTGTCCATCACCATCTCCCAGAGTTTGCTCAAACTCATGTCCATCAAGTCAGTGATGCCATCCAACCATCTCATCCTCTGTCATCCCCTTTTCCTCCTGCCTTCAGTCTTCCCCAGCATCAGGGTCTTTTCCAGATTCTTTGAATCAGGTGGCCAAAGTACTGGAGTTTCAGCTTCAGCATCAGTCGTTCCAATGAATATTCAGGACTGATTTCCTTTAGGATGGACTGGTTGGATCTCTTTGCTGTCCAAGGGACTCTCAAGAGTCTTATCCAACACCACAGTTCAAAAGCATCAATTCTTTGGTGCTCAGCTTTCTTTATGGTCCAACTGACATCCATACATGACTACTGGAAAAACCATAGCTTTGACTAGATGGACCTCTGTTGGCAAAGTAATGTCTCTCCTTTTTAATATACTGTTTAAACACATAGTTCATCTCAATTCAAACTAGCCACATTTCAAGTTCCCAGTAGCTGCACATGGCTGGCATACCATACAGGAAAACTCAGCTCTGACACTATTGAAGGAAGTAGTTGAAAAAGAAAACAATTCTTAAAAGAACAAGAAGAGGAATAGAAGGGGAAAGAATTTATGAAGAATCGTGTTAATTTATAATTTTTGAGACAGTAAAATCATGACCCTAATGCAAAGACAAAGTGCAAGTATCAGAGATTGATTCAATGCATCAATTCAGAGAGCAACCAGTGAGATGATTAAAAACAAAATAACAACAACCAAAAAAATGATTCATTGCACTTGAGAAGCTGTCTTCAGACAGTTTAATGAGGAAATTGTTAGAAGATTGCCTGGCTAGATACAAACAGTTCCTGTCCCGCAGGGTCAGAAATGGTGACCTTCGAGGTTACCTCTTCCACCAGACAGAAGTGACTTACATCTCAAATGGACCCAAATCTACAAGCTAATCACTGCTCCTGCAGAACTGGAAAATAGCTCAGTCAATAGAAAATCAATCAAAGGTACAAGCCCTGACCAAGCAGATCTTTTTGGCCTATTTCCAAGTTTGAGATCACTTTCCTGACAATGGGGACCAGGAGAGCACAGGGTGGTGGGCAGAGGAGACCACAGGGGATGAGGGGGAGGCTGCATCTGGATGGACAGATGCTGGGTAGCCAATGTGCTGGCTGGGCGTGTTTGCGTGTGTGGTCCAATCCACCCGTGCACACAACTGCCGTTCCCCAGGGTTCCGGGGACACACTCTTGAACTCCATGGTCGCAGCTTCTGACACTCCCCAGCAGCTGGGGCCTGACATGGGCCTGGCTCTGGCAGCCGAGGCAGGGTCAGCTCAGGCTGGGCACCCCTCCCAAAGCCCCACTTCCCTGGGACCTGCCGACTGGGCTCCCGTGGGTCCACAGGGTGTCCTGTGTCTGCAACTGAAAGATGTCAAATGAGCCGGAGCCCACAGGGCACTTTAAAAATTATAGAGCGTGACTTGAACCTGAGACTCTATTGCCAATATTTCAGGAGTAGATGGTGTAAATGGTAGGTGCCCACCAGGCAGGTCAGAGACGTGGGCGCAGAGCATGGAGACGTGGGAAGCAGAGTTCTGCTGCTCTGCTAATTCCTTCCTCCCCCAGGTCGTCCTCAGAGGCCTCTTGCTCCCAGACTCCCCTTCCCCCTCCACCACCTACGTTTATGTCTATCTGTCATGATGTCACATACTTTCTGTCATGACCTTTGAATTGCTCAGTCTGAAAACTGAGGCGATCCACACGCAAACACAGGACTTTCCTCAGAAATTTAGGCTGCTCTCACAAACGACACACGTGGTCACTCACTGTGCATGGTATGTCACTGTCCAGCTCCCGGAACACTGACACCCAATCGTCCTGCGTGGCGATATTCCAGTTGGGGTAATCCAGGAAGGTGGCCTGGGCCATGATCTCCTCTTGGTCATTGTGGAGGGTGATGGCAAGGTTTGCTTTCTCCCTGTGGAAATGGTTTGAATTGCACACGTGAAGAAGGTACCAACCGTGAGAAGAAGAGGTGTCATTTTCTCCTACCTTGGGTTCCCGGAGTTCAGCACCCACTGTGTCAGGTGTGACCACCTTTCAGCCAGTTCACTTTTGGCTGCAATGAGTCTATTTCAATGACAAGTTTTACATTACTATCATAAAAGGAAAACCAGTATCCCTTCCTATAAGTAGAAGCTAACTATTAAAATGAAGATACGACATTTAACACAAAAACTGCTCTAAATGATGGAGTCAAATCACTTGAGTCAGATCTGGTACCACCAGAGCTGTGGGCACCTTAGGGAGATACTGCGCTTGGACACCAATCTCAGCCACCATCCCGTCTCACAGAAAGTCACAGCGCTTAGCCACAGGGGACTCCCAACAGGGTCCAAGCTCTTGGCCCAAGCTCTGCAGCTGGCTGTCCTCAGGTATTGAGAACATGGGATCCACAGAGGACGTTCATTAGTAGGAGAGGCAGCTCCCCCCCTCGCCAGCTTCTCCCATCTAATTCACTGAAGTCCCTGCCCCTTATTCTACTCTTGCAGGTCTCCCTCCAGGTCCTGTCCTCTGGGCTCCCCTGCTCTGGGCTCCCAGAGCCATGACCTATGACTCCACACTGAGAGTCCTCACTCTAACCCAGATGAGAATGGTCAAGGACACAGGACCATCATTGACCTTGACCTTGATCAGTGAGCATCAGTGATGGTGGTGATGAAGATGGTAGAGGAGGAAGTGGGCAAGACCTGGGACTGGGCAGCCACCATCCCTTCAGTGAAGGAAAGGAAAGGTATTCCTGGAATCCCAATTAGAAGTTAAAATGGACTTATCCATGGGAACCTAGGGTGGTGGTGGTGTTCTGCAGCACAATTAGCACAGTGCTATACCACACAGACAGTATAGATTAGATAGGCTTTTCTGGGGTGGCCTGGCAAGCCAGCCACCAATAACTTTATTTCAGTGGGAAAATGCACTGCAGTTTCCAAAGAGCCTGACTGCAAAAAGTAACTTAGGCGGCAAATCATTTTATATATACAATTTCCACTTATTACTGCTTAGCAAATAGGTCCTCTATAGGACAGATAAAAATCATTGTGCAAGTGAAAGTGGGAGAGGAGGGATAAGTTGGAGGGAGAAGGTATGTGTCTTTAAAGCTGGTTTAAAATTATCCTTTGTAATAAGCCAAATCCAAGCCAAAGGAGCCCTTAAAAAATATACACACACACACATGTGCACATGTATCTATTTCACCAAAACATATTAAAGTTCAAAGATGTTACCAGCAATAGAAATCAGAGTTCTTTCCATTAGAGCAGTGCTTCATTTATTCAATAGGTTTAAGGAATTTAAGTTCAGCCAGTACTGGTTTTACTTAACTGTATTTGGTGAAAATCTTGGTGAAAAAGGGTTCCCATTTTCTGCCTTGTTAAGGAGCAGGAGTGAAACAGGGCTTCATGTCCCTTTTCTCCCCCAATACTTCAACTTTAAATCCTTCTGTGACTTTTTATACCTTAGGCATGTTTTACATGACTGCTCTTTGTTTTGTTCTGTTTTCAGCCAATCCACTTATCTCTATATTTTAACTGAAGAATTTTGTTCAGATACACTTATTTTGATTACCAATATGCAGAATTTTTTTCAATCTTCCTATTATTTGCGATTTTAACGTGTTCTATGCTTTCTGTTTCTTTTTTCTTGCCTTCTTTCAGATTCTGGTTTCTTATTAATTTCCCGTTCAATTTTCCCCTCTATAGATCAGCAGGTATGATCTCTACGCCTATCCTTTAATGATTACACTAGCCCAAGTTAACACATATTTCTAACAAAGTCTTTACCCTCTGTTCCAATTATCAACTGACATGTACCAAACCACCCCTAGGCTCCAAACAACTATTTTTTATTATTTCTCATGGTTCTGTGGGCTAGCTGGTTTTGATTCAGCAGTTTTTGGTGGAGGTCTCTCAGGTGATGGCAGTCAAGTGGTACAGATAGCTGGAGTCTGCTGAATATCCAATGTCTAGAATGGTTCCACACACACTGTTAGCGGTTGGTGCTGATTATTGGCTAAGAGCTTGGCCAAGGCTGTCAGGTGAGACAACCTGCGTGTAGCCCTGTGACTTGAGCCTTTAACAGTGTGGCATCTGGGTTCCAAGAGGGAGCATTTCAGAGAGCAGTGGAAGCTGCAAACTTCTTACGGTCTAGACTTGAAGTCACAGAGCATCCCTGTTGCTGATTTCTATACACAGGGCCAGCCCTGACTCAGGACAAGAAGAGACTTGAAAAGGACTTGATGGAGGGTGTGTGGTTGGTGGGAGGGAGGGGGAACACCTCTGAATACTAGCTACCACACCCTCCTCCTCAACAAATCCTTAAAGCTACTTTCAATTTAATCACATGACCCCCAATTTATCAGCTATTTTTGTCCTGTATTTTATCTCATTATTTATTTTTTATAACTTACCATTTATAGTTAGTATCTATATTAGTCATTGTTAATGTTACTGTTTCATACAAGCTAGACTTTTTTTCATATTTATACATATTTTTGTTTACTTTCCTTCTTTTATCTGGGGTTTTTCCAGCCAAGATATTCTTCCTTCTGCTTAGAGTATGTTCTGAGGAATTTCCTTAATTCAGAGTCTACCAGTAAAGTAACTGATAAACTAGTTTTTGTTTATCTGAAAAATTCACTCATTTTTTCCCCTAAGTATTGAAACATTGTTTCACTATGTATAAATTCTAGTTTGATGTTATTTGCTCTCCAACATTTCACTGTCTTCTGGGTACCATTGTTGCTAGTAAGAATTATCATTAGACTAATTTTTAGTTATTTGCAGGCAACTTCTTTTTTCTCTACAGGTATTTTTCAGATCTCTTTAGCTTTGGTGTTTTGCTGTTTCACTATGATGTGGTTGGTTGTAGAATTCTCTGTTCATTTTTCCTATTTGGAATTCATGGAGTTTTCTGTAAGAATGTGTGCTTTTCAACAATTCTGGAAAGTTCTCAGCCATTATCTCTTCAAATACTGACTCTTTCACTTTCTAATATGTCCTTCTAGAAGTCTAATCATATCTAATTGTTAAGAGTCCCATTTTTATATTTTGTCTCTGTCTCTCTGCGCTGAATTCCAGGTAATCTATTTTTATCGATCCTCCAGTTCACTACTTCTGTCTTCACCTGTGTCTATTATGATGCTTAATTCATCTACTGAGCTTTTAATTTTAACTTTATTTCTTTCTAGATGGCCTATGAGACTTTTTCAATACTCATTTTTCATTTTATGGTCTTTTAAAACATACCTTTTCACTTTAGACATAGTATAGTTATTTTATATTCTGTGACTTAATATCTGAAGTCTTTGAGTCTGATTCTCCTGTATAGTTTTTGTCTTTAATTCTCACTAATGGTGACTGTCTCCTTGTATATTTGTGTTGTGATTTTTGGCTGCAAGTTTATGTTCCTTGCAACCTTATCTGTGAGTATTATTTGAAGTCTAAGCTGAAGCTCCACCCTTTCAGACCTGATCTGCATTTATTTCAGCAGTCTCCTATATACAATACTAACCTACAACCACTTTTAATCAAATTTTCCACTGCCTTTACTTTACTCAGTCTATGGGTAAATTAACTTAGTTTTGGTTGTCTGAAAATGCATCCATTATTTAGGAAGTTTTGAAGCTTTTGCAGGGGAGCTTTATTCCTCCCCCCAACCTTTTCATTCATGCTGAAGTTGAAATGGCCAAGTTTCCTTACTTTTATGCAGTGGGTTTATGTCTCCTTCATCCCTACAAACAATATAATTTTATACAAAGAAATCTAATACTTCCCTCCTTATGTGTAGGGAGTATTTAACTTCTGTTCCTTGCAAACCTGTCAAAACAGAAGTGTGAGTTTCTAGAATGAAGCAAAAAATCCTCAAGGAGAAAGTGGCATGGGTTCCTACTATTGTCCTGAAGTTTCTGATTTCATTCTGACAACTATCTCAGCATAGTCCTTACTTTGTGTGTGTGTGTGTGTGTGTGTGTGTGCATATCAACATATTTCCATCCAGAGAACATCATTAAGGTGTTTAATCCATCATAATGCCAAAAAAGAGAAATAATTTCATTGGTATACATATTTTTAAAGCTTTTATACATATTGCCCTACTGCCCTCCAACAAAACTATGCCAAATTTACATTACATTCATCAGTGTGGTGATCAGAAACTGTAAATTTTAATGTCTTAGGCTAGCCTAGTTTAAATATTTCGATTGCATTTAATCTGAAGCTTTATGATATCCAAAATACTGAGCTATCTCTTAACATGCTCAATAAACATAATGAGGCGCCACTTATAGGATATTTCTATGTGTTAGTCGCTCAGTCGTGTCGACTCTTTGCGACCCGATGACCTGTACCCCACCAGGATCCTCTGTCCATTGATTTTCCAGGCAAGAACACTGGAGTGGGTAGCCATTTCCTTCTCAGCCCAGGGATTGAACCCGGGTCTCCTGTATTGCAAGTGGATTCTTTATCATCTGAGCCACCAGGGAAGCCCTATATTCATATTCTAGTGTCCAAAAACAAAACAGGGAGAAAAAAGATCTTTTCTTAAAAAAAAAAAAAACTATGCCTAATTCGAAGTTTAGAAGAACAAATCACAGAAGTGGCTGAGAGCACATTCAGGCTTTGTCACCTACTAACAGCTGGACCTTGGGCTGGCCTCCACTTTCTTATCTGTAAAAACAGGCATGATGGTGGCTACCTCAGAATTAAACAAGACGGTGTTGGCAAAGAACGGAGTCTGAAGGAAAATAAATTCTCAATACCGGTAGCTAATGTTATTAACTTGCCTTCAAATGACTCTACTGGTAGGTGAGGCAGTCAAGATTTGAACTCAAGTTTGCCTGAATCCAAAAGCTGTGAGAAATCTTTCCAATTTTTATGTTTGTTATGGGACTTAGTGATGGCTGTTCCCAGAGACCTTTCTGCTCAGTAGGGCAGACTTTCCTGCTGTCTGTTTCCTTGCCATAAGCCCTGTGAGGACAAAGGAGTGGAGCCCTTTGGCGACATACTTACAGAAGATAGATGATATTAAGATTTCCAAAGAGCTTCTGGGTAAATTTTCTAATGAGGTTTTTGATACAGTAAATATCCTGTGACTCTGTTCTTCGGCAATGTACCACTTCCACTTTTCCTCTTGGAGAAGTGAGTACTGACATTTTTGATCCTGTCCCCAAAAGAGAGAAAAACAGCCCACTGTTAACCTGAGATGATGAGCCAATCTAGCTACATATTTACAAAAATGGGACATTCCTTCAGTCTTCGTGTGGTCAGGGTGAGCGTGGTTGGTGGGATACATCTCCTTGGGCGTAGGCTATGACAACTGTCCCTCAAAACTAGCTGACATCTATCTCTCCAGGAAAATGAAGTATCTGAGAACTGGCCTGGCTAGAAGTGACTGCAATGATATATTTTTTTTTCCACACAGCTGCTTTAAAAATATTCAAACAATAGGACTGAAGAACATTGAAAGGAATTATTTACTGATTCAGGGTCCTCATCAGCCACCATGGTCAACTAAAGAGCCTCTTGGTGAAAGTGAAGGAGGAGAGTGAAAAAGTTGGCTTAAAGCTCAACATTCAGAAAACTAAGATCATGGCATCCGGTCCCATCACTTCATGGCAAATAGATGGGGAAACAGTGGAAACAGTGGCTGACTTTATTTTTTGGGGATCCAAAATCACTGCAGATGGTGACTGCAGCCATGAAATTAAAAGACGCTTACACCTTGAAAGGAAAGTTATGACCAACCTAGACAGCATATTAAAAAGCAGAGACATTTCTTAGCTGACAAAGGTCCATCTAGTCAACGCTATGGTTTTTCCAGTGGTCATGTGTGGATGTGAGAGTTGGACTGTAAAGAAAGCTGAGAGCTGAAGAACTGATGCTTTTGAACTGTGGTGTTGGAGAAGACTCTTGAGAGTCCCATGGGCTGCAAGGCGATCCAACCAGTCCATCCTAAAGGAGATCAGTCCTGGGTGTTCATTGGAAGGACTGATGCTGAAGCTGAAACTCCAATACTTTGGCCACCTGATGCAAAGAGCTGACTCATGGGAAAAGACCCTGATGCTGGGAAAGATTGAGGGAAGGAGGTGAAGGGGATGACAGAGGATGAGATGGTTGGGTGGCATCACTGACTCGATGGACATGGGTTTGGGTGGACTCCAGGAGTTGGTGATGGACAGGGAGGCCTGGCGTGCTATGGTTCATGGGGTCGCAAAGAGTCAGACAAGACTGAGCAACTGAACTGGACTGAATGGCAGAAAGTGAAGAGGAACTAAAGAGCCTCTTGATGAGGATGAAAGAGGAGAGTGAAAAAGCTGGCTTGAATCTCAACATTAAAAAAACATGTCATCCAGTCCCATCACTTCATGACCAATAGAAGGGGAAAACGTGGAAGCAGTGACAGATTTTTTTTCCTCGGGCTCCAAAATCACTACAGGATGATGACTGCAGCCATGAAATTAAAAGTGTCTTGCTCCTTGAAAGGAAAGCTGTGACAAACCTAGACAGTATATTAAAAAGCAGAGATATCACTTTGCCAACAAATGTCTGTATGGTCAAAGCTATGGTTTTCTCCATAGACATGCACAGATTTGAGAGCTGGACCATAAGGAAGGCTGAGCACCGGAGAATTTATGTTTTCGAGTTGTGGTGCTGGACAAGCCTCTTGAGAGTCCCTTGGACTGCATGGAGATCAAACCAGTCAATCCTAAAGGAAATCAACCCTGAATGTTCATTGGAAGGACAGAAGCTGAAGCTCCAATACTTTGGCCACTAGATGCAAAGAGCCAAGTCAGTGGAAAAGACCTGATGCTGGGAAAGATTGAAGGTAAAAGGAAAAGGGGGTGGCAGAGGGTGAGATGGTTAGATGGAATCACTGACTCAGCGGACATAAATTTGAGCAAATTACAGGAGATAGTGGAGGATAGAGAAGCCTGGTGTGCTACAGTCCATGAGGTCGCAAAGAGTCGGACCTGAATTCACGACTCAGTAACAATAAAAGTTAAGTGCACTGGCGCTAAGAAAATTGACATTAAGACACAATGACAGAAAATTTAAAAATATCTGTTTATCTGATATTATTTAAGATTGATATATTGTTTATCTGATATTATAAGGCTGGATTATTTGCTAGTACTCTGATGATTTATTTTCACTTTTTTCTGTTATCTGGCTTTAAAATTCCTTCAGTTACTTTCAGTTATAAGCCATAGAATTATTTGATCACAAATGTCCAAAAACCAAGGGGCAGTTGACCATTCTGGAATACAAAGCCCAGAATGCACCCCAGCTCAGGGCGGCCGAGGAGCTCAGCAGCTTGCCGCTAGGCATGCCAGGAATGGTAGTTTTCTACCCCACCCCCAACCCTCGAGTATCCGCACGGGAGCCGGGTTCTTGTCCCCTTGCGGGATACCGCGGCTTCACGGATCCACCCGTCCTCGCACGGTCATCCCAATCCCAGAGGCGACCTGAGGATGCGCCCCTGAAGCCCCGGATTCTGCCCGCCTCTCGGCGGACAGCCAGCACTCCTCACCTCACCTGCAACTCCCACAGAGTCCCGGGCTCAGAAGAGGACGCGCAGCCCGGTTACCACAGAAACGACGTTGACTCCGTCACGGCGCGGGAGAGAGGTCAAAAGTCGCCCCGGCCAGTTCCGCTTCCGGTTCCGGGATCCCGCTGTTGTTGGAAAGTTGCGCGGTGTGGGAGAGCCCTCGGGGAAGGTGTTCTGTGGTCCCGGGCTCGGCCGCGGTCGCCGCTGCAGCCATGGCGGCCTCCACCGCGGCCGGGAAGCAAAGGATCCCCAAAGTGGCCAAGGTGAGCGGCTCGGGGCCTTGTGGGAGGAGGCCGGGGACGGGGTTGGCTCGGCCTAGGTGGTGGCGGGGACGGGAGGTGTGTGGTCCCGAGAGCTGGTCGTCCCTCCCTGAGCGGGGGCCGCGGGCGGGGAGGGCCAGCCGGTCGTGGGGGGCACCCCCGCGTCAGCGTGGTCGTTGTGTTAGAAGGTGTTTATCTGGGGGAGCAGAGAGGTCCTTCAGCACAGACCCGCTGAACCAGACACTTGCTAGGCGCTGGGGCTCCGGGTAGAGCGGGCTAAGAGGTGACCTCCGTAAGGGTAGAATTGCAGCCTTGCAAAGGCTCCTGAGCCCCAGAGGAATATGCCGTGGCTTCCTGGGCTCGTGTGCGGAGTCTTCAGCGCCAACTTTGCAAGGAAGTGATGGTTAAGCTACGCTGAAGGCGGTAATCGGAGTCAACCCCGGGTGAGAGCGCAAGGAGTGAGAAGAGATGACAAGGGCCATGTTTTGGCTGATCTGACTTTTTCCGCGCGCAGTTAATACTTAGCGAATGCTTAATATGTGACAGCATTCGTCCTAGACGTTTGCACATGCTCTTCCCTCCAGTCTTGCTCCAGCTCGGCTCTGGAGCCTGTCCTTCAGGTACCCGTTTGGGTGACTCCCAGAGAGTGCATAGAAAGCACTCAGCACAGTTTCTGGCGCTTAATGTTCATTAGATAGGCGCCCTCGGCATCATCATTGCCCACGTGGCATTAAATACTTAGTATTTCTTATAGTTCAGTTCTGTAAACTTTTATTGGGTTCCACAGGTCCCATAAAAATTGAATGTGAGCCACATAGAGAATTTTAAGCTTTTTCATAGCTACAGTTAAAAAAAAAAAAGCAAAACAGGTGACATGACTTTTAATTATACATTTTATTTAACCAGTGTAGCCAAGATAGTGTTATTCCATTATGTCATGAATACAAAAAGTTTGATTGGATCATTTATTCTTTTTTCTCCCCCATACTAAGTCTTCGAAACCCCTTGTGTGTTTTACACTTGCAGCCCAATTTGGACTCACCAAATGTGATTCGTGGCTGTTGTGTTGGACAGCACAGCTCTAAGACCTCAAGAAGCTTACAGTCTAATGATAGGAACTTACTGAATATGTCTTTGACTTGAAATGCCATGAAAAATCAAAGACAGTTATCCACCTGAGGCCAAGGCAGAAATTAAAGGATTCTGTAAATGGAGGTTGAAATGCCAGTTAAGGCATGGTGCACATCTTGATAAGACCTCTGTTAAGAGTTTTACCTAGGCATCCTCAAAATTTATTATACTGTTCTAAAAGAGAAATGTTGTTTTTGCTACCTTTCCTCTTGAGACTTTTATCTATGGCCTTGTGATAAATACCTTGCATGAAGTAAAAATGTTTGTGGGGTTTTTTTTAGTTTCATAGAGAAATGGGAGCACGTCATGCAAAGGGAGCATCTTGTAATAGCATTTATAAAGTTCACATTCTAAAAAAAAGTTCATTTGTTTCTTAAACTTTGTGTGAAAAGCATCTGCTAAAAATGGAAATGTCTCCTGTGTTAAAAGGTGAAAAACAAAGCCCCAGCTGAAGTACAGATCACTGCGGAGCAACTGCTAAGAGAAGCTAAGGAGAGAGAACTTGAGCTTCTTCCACCTCCCCCTCAACAGAAGATTACAGATGAAGAAGAGTTAAACGATTACAAACTACGGAAGAGGAAGGTTTGTCTGTGTGGTCTGTTTTAGTCTGTCAATATCATTCAGAATTTATAGACCAGAGTTTGAAAAGTTCCTCACTGATTAGAGAGACTGTAAACTTAAGAAGAATTTCGTGTTTCTGGCCCCTTGCGTAATGTGACTTCTGCTCACCAAGTGGTTGCATTATTGCTAAACTTCATAAAATACACCACAAGTTGCCTGTCTTACATTAAATCCACCACGGACAGAATTCTTAGTGCTGAATCAAAGACGGGTGGGAGTTTACCAGGGAGAACAACTGAGAGCCGAGGAGGGGCAGAATTAGCGAGATTGTGTCATGTTCTTCTGTCTGTTGGGGCCTTCTGTGCTGAGAGTAACACCTGGGGTAGAGCCGAGCGAGGACCTGGGGATCTGATCTGACCTCCCCCCACCCCAGGATGTGGGATTGTTTTTTTAAAAATCCTGTTGCTCGTCCTGTTGTATCTACATACTTAATTATCCTCAGTAATGTCTGAGACGTTACTGAGAGGACTTAAACAGTAAGACTCAAAAAACGCTTTCTCATTAGTAACACGTAGAGTATATTAAAGTACCAGTTAGTTGTTACATACAATAAGAGAAAATGTCAGCAATTCTATTCATAATTATTTTTATCTGAAGTTTTCTCTTTGTTTGCCTGTAAGACTTTAAAGAAAAACTTGTGACTTTAACCTTCTTTAAGTGGGTTTCTCATCTCTCAAGGATTCCAGGATGTAATTTCTCTTAAATAGCAAAATGAATGAATGAACTTGGTACAAGGGTTAATAGACAAAAGACAATGTCATCTTTAGTTATTTTCCCTTTAATTTGACCCTTTTTGCCTTTTGCCAGACTTTCGAAGATAACATAAGAAAAAACAGGACTGTGATTAGTAACTGGATAAAATATGCACAATGGGAAGAGAGTCTAAAGGAGATTCAGAGGTAAAGTCACTGAGCATGTAACTGTGTAAATAGAAATTAAGTTATCAGATAGAAAAACATAGAAGTTAAAGCATGTGTAAAACCGTGTGCCTCTGATAATAATAAAAAATTTCAGACTTTGTTCCCTGGGACCCTAGGGTTCCTTTGAGTGGCCTCAGGAGTGCTGTGGTTGGCTGGTCCTAGTGGAGAAGGCTCTCCAGGTGGATCTCGTCACCAGCTCACACTCTGCAGCCAGAGAAGTGCAGTTCCATCCGTTTTCTCCATGTTGGGAAATTCGTTTTTTTGTTGTTGTTTTTTTTTTTTAAGAAAAATTGTTCCACTCAAAGCCAGTGGCCAACAAAATGAAATCATGTCCTGACCTTTCCTGTTGTTCCACCTTCCTGTGTTCTCCCAGTATGCCCCCTGCCCTGGCCAGGCCCAGAACTCACCGAGTCTCCTCACCCTGACGCCAGCAGGGTCCCCCCCTCCCTACCCACCTTGGTCTTGGGAACTTTTCCCAAGTTCTCACCTACCACTTAACTAACTTTTCCACTTGACATTTTTCTTTCTTTCCCCTCTGCTTCCTTGTGTGGAACTTCACATTGCATTGCAGTTACATGCATGTCAGTCTTTCTCTAAAACTTGTAAGGTTCCTGAGAACATCCTATCTTTTCACCTTTTTATGCCCAGAACCTCGCTCCCAATAAACAACCTGACAAAACTAGCCGAGCCTTGGAGGTGGTTGCCAGGTGTGCTGCATGTGCTGTAACTGATACCCTCCAAATTTGGCTTCTCAAGGGCTCGATCCATATATGAACGTGCCTTGGATGTGGACTACCGAAATATTACACTATGGCTGAAATATGCCGAAATGGAAATGAAGAATCGCCAGGTCAACCACGCCCGGAATATCTGGGACCGAGCCATTACGACTCTGCCTCGGGTCAACCAGTTCTGGTACGTTCCAGATCTAATGAAATGGCTTTTTGTAGACTAAATTTCCACATTTCTGTGTGTACATGTGTTTGTTTATTTGGCCGCATTGACTCTTAGTTGCAGTATGTGGGGTCTTCATTGTGAAGCATGGGCTATTCTCTAGTTGTGGTTCATGGGCTCCAGAGTGCACAGGCTCAGTAGTCATGGCACACTGGCTTAGTTGCCCAACCAGGGATCAAACCCGTGTCACCTACATTGGAAGGTGTTCTTAACCACTGGACCGTGAGGGAAGTCCCTGTGTAATTATTTATAGTTGTAATCATATGTATTAAATCTTGCATCCTACTTTTTCTTTAAACATACACTCATTATTGTTTAATGTCCTTTAGTCTGTTAAGTCATAATCCCAATGTATAATTGCTGTGTAATCAAAACTGAAGTTTTGGTTGCAATCTTTTATACAGAAGAATCTTGTTGAACTAAGCAACATTTGAGGAGAAAAAACCTTTTTTTTTTTTCCATTTATTTTTATTAGTTGAAGGCTAATTACTTTACATCATTGCAGTGGTTTTTGTCATACATTGAAATGAATTAGCCATGGATTTACATGGAGAAAAATCCTTTTTGTCCAATGTCTGATCCTTTTCAGATTTGTAGTTTAATAGGAAAAACATGTTTGACTTCACCTTTTGGGAAGATAAAGCCCTGACTCTTGATGTGTTAACAAAGTTAGAGCCAGAGATTGCCAAAGACCGTTTTTTTCTGAAGTCATTTTGACCGTGACCGATAAGTTCAGATGATTCTGTTGAAGGTACAAGTACACGTACATGGAGGAGATGCTCGGGAACATCGCTGGTGCCCGGCAGGTGTTCGAGCGCTGGATGGAGTGGCGGCCGGAGGAGCAGGCCTGGCATTCGTACATCAACTTCGAGCTGAGATACAAGGAGGTGGACCGGGCCCGCACCATCTACGAGCGCTATATCCTTCTGACGGGTCTGCCTGCTGCTCTGCTGGGGGGCTGTGGTCTGGCTGGGACATGTAGTCACTGAAACTGGCCCAGAAGTCAACTTCTGCTTCATAAGTTGCGTTTATATCTTCTAGGGACACAGTTGTTCAGAACAAAAGTTTGTAGTCTAGATAATTGTGTCTTTTCCAGGGAGACTCAGGTTTGTTTGTCTTTTGGTATTAGCACTGTGGTTCCTTGTGGAAGTTAGTACCGTAAGACCCTGTTTGTTCTGGGATGTATGTTGGTCATGGGCACCAGTGCTGGAGTTGGTCCAGAGGTTTGCTGTTTACTAACTGTGTGATCTCGACGTGTCTGATCACTCCTTGGAGCCTAGGTGTCCTCATCTTTATTTTTTTAATTATTTACTTATTTATTTTTGGCTATGTGGGCTTTTCTCTCGTAGCCAGTGGGGGCTAATCTAGTTGAGATGTGCAGGCTTCTCTCATTGGAGATCACTGGCTCTAGGCACGCAGGCCTCAATAGTTGCAGCTCCCGGGCTCTAGATAGAGCACAGGCTCAGTAGTCGTGGCACATGGCCTTAGTTGCCCCATGGCGTGTGGGATCTTCCTGGACCAGGGATCGAACCGGTGTTGCTGCGTTGGCAGGCAGATTCCCTCATCTTTAGAAGGGAGGTAAAAGTCCCTGCTGTGGGCTGACTGTGAGGAGGAAGGAGATGGTGATGGGAAAGCACCCTCAGCAGTGCTTGATTCTTGTTTCACTGTTTTTGTGCTGGTTTATCTCCTACTTGCTAACATGTATTTGTAAATCCACAATCAGTAATTGTGGCACTGGCAGTCATTTGCAGACAAGCCCAGAGTGATGAAAAACTTGCATCACCCAAGGCACTTGGTCCCAGTGGAGGACAAACAAGACGACCGTCTGCCTTCCTGTCTCTGCTCTCCTGCAGGGCTGACCGGGGCAGGGAGCGGGAGGGGCAGTGCAGGGGAGGGAGACGCCTTGGCTCTGGGTCAGCTGAACGGGACAGAGTTCCTTTTCTGGTACAGTTAGTGGGCAGCTTTAGACATGTCGCTTAACACTTCTGAGACTTGTTTTCCCTTTTCTAAAATAAAAGAATTTGCCAACGATAGTTATTTTTAGGATTTAAAATCACAGTCTATGTGAGATATGTGTGTGTATTCATATATATAGTATAGTATATATGTGTGTGTGTATCATGCATACATATTTCCTCTGGGAGTAGCAATTTGGTATTCTCCAGGCAGAGTGACTTCATAGAGCATAATACTGAGAGATACAAGACTCAACTTTATTATGTAATTTTAGCATCTTAACTGTGACTACTCATTTTGATATCACTAGTTTAACAAGAGCATGTATTGCACCTGCCCTGTGCCATGCATTATTCTAAGTGCTTTACAGATACTGTTGTTTAATCCCTGTGACAGCCCTCGATTCAGGAGCTGCTTCTTTCTGCAGATGAGGAATCTGAGGCAGGATAGCACCTCTCAGGTGCTGGTGAAGCTGGGATTTGAACCAGTCAGCTTCAGAGCCGGTGCTCTTTAATCATTGCCCTATTGGAACATGTTCAGTTCAGTAGCCAGTCATGTCTGACTCTTTGCAACCCCATGGACTGCGTACTCTTTAATCATTGCCCTATTGGAATGTGTTACTACTTTGAAATTTAATGATTTCTTCAAGGAAAGTAGATGAAAAACACATCCTATGAAGAAGAAAATTGTAATAAAAAATGTCTCTGTTGGCTCTGATTATAGTAGCTTTCTTTTCATGACATGTTTTTTCTTTTCTTTCTTCCTTTTTTGTTTTTTTTTTTTTTAATTTTCTGGCCATGCCACACACCTTGCAGGATATTTGTTTTCCCAACCAGGGATTGAATCTGGGCCATGGCAGTGAAAGCACTGAGTCCTAACCACTGGACCACCAGGAACTTCCTCTTTTTTCCCCTTAAATCTTTATTGGAGAACAGTTGATCTACAGTGTTGTGTTAGTTTCAGGTGTACAGTGAATTAAATCAGTTGTATGTATGTATGTATGTATATACATATATCCATTCTTTTTCAGAATCTTTTCCAATGTAATTTACCACAGAAGTGTTTCCTGTGCTACACAGTAGGTCCCTGTGATCTCTCTTACGTACAGTAGTGTGTGTGTGGGTGTGTGTGTGTGTGTGTGTGTGTGTTGCTCAATTGTGTCCGACTCTTTGCAGCCCCATGGACTATAGTCCACCAGGCTCCTCTGTCCATGAAATCTCCAGGCAAGAACACTGGAGTGGATTGCCATTCCCTCCTCCAGGGGATCTTCCTGACCCAGGGATCGAACCCAGGTGTCCTGCAATGCAGGTGGCCGCTTTACCGTCTGAGCCGCCAGGGAAGCACAGTACTGCATGTATGTTAATTTGTTTCCCAGTCCATCACTTCCCCTAACGTTTCCCGTTCCGCAGCCATAAATTTGATTTTGGGATCTGTGAATCTGTTTCTCTCTGCCAAACAATTCATTTGTGTCATTTTTGTTGCTGTCGTTAAATTTCACCTATAAGTGATAAACGGTATTTGTCTTTCTCTGTCTGACTTACTTCAGTTAGTATGACTGACTTCATTTCTTCTTTGGAGAAAAGTCTACTTAGATCTTTTGTCCATTTTTTGATTGCCTTGTTTGTTTTTTTGATACTCTAGGTTTATCCATGTTGATGCAAATGACATGATTTCATTCATTCTTATGGCTGAGTAATAGTCCATTGTATGTATGCACCACATCATCTTTATCCATTCTTCTGTTGATGGACATTCAGGTTGCTTCCATGTCTTGGCTATTGTAAATAGTGCTGCAAATTAAAATAGTGAACGTTGGGGGTGCATATGTCTTTGAATTAGGGTTTTCTCCAGATATATGTGTAGGAGTTGGATTGCTGGATTGTATGGTAATTCTGTTTCTAGTTTTTTAAAGAATTTCCATACTCTTCTCCATAATGATTGTACCAAATTATATTCCCATCAACAGGGTAGGAGGGTTCTCTTTTCTCCATGTCTGCTCCCAACATTTATTGTTTACAGATTTTTTGATAATGGCCATGCTGACCAGTGTGAGGTGATATTTATAGTTTTGATGTGCATTTCTCTAATAATTAGTTATGCTGAGCATCTTTTCCTATGTTTTTTCTCCATCTGTCTGTCTTCTTTGGAGAAATGTCTATTTAGATCTTCTGTCCATTTTTTGATTGGGTTGTGGTTTTTTTTTTAATAGAGCTGCATGAACTGTTGGTATATTTTGGAAATTAATCCTTTGTTGGTTGCTTTATTTGCAAATATTTTCTCCCATTCTGTGGGTTGTCTTTGCATTTTGTTAATGGTTTCCTTTGATGTGCAAAAGCTGTTATGTTTAATTAAGTCCTATCTGTTTTTTTGTTTTTATTTTCATTACTATAGGAGGGGGATTCAAAAAGATACGCTGTGATTTATGTCAGAGTGTCCTGTTTTCCTCTAAGAGTATCTGGCCTTACATTTAGGTCTTTAATCTATTTTGAGTTTATTTTTGTGTATGGTGTTAGGTAGTATTCTAATTTCATTCTTTTACATGTAGCTGTCCAATTTTCCCACCGCTTATTGAAGAGACTGTTTTCTCCATTGCATATTCTTGCTTCCTTTGTCATAGGTCAGTGTGTGGGTTTATACCTGAGCTTTCTGTCCTGTCCCATTGACCTATATTTCTGTTTTTGTGCCACTACCATACTGTTTTGATGACTGTAGCTTTGTAGTGTGGTCTGAAGTCAGGGAGCCTAATTCCTCCAGCTCTGTTTTTAATTCTCAAGATTACCCTGGCTTATTTGGTGTCTTCTCTGTTTCCATACAAATTAATTTTTTTTTTTCTTTCAGTTCTGTGGAAAATGCCATTGATAGGTATTGCATTAAATCTGTAGGTTGCCTTGGGCAGTACTGTAGTTTTTGACAACATTGATTCTTCCAGCCGAGGAACATGTGTTTCCATCTGTTTATGTCATCTTTGATTTTGTTAATCAGGATCTTACAGCTGATCTCTCCAGCAGTAAGGGGGCTTCCCCAAGTATGGGACCTCTCTCCTCTCCTTCAGTCCCCCACCAGGGGTGCAGGTCCTGTCCCGAGTACTGTTCTCTGTTGTTTTCCTTTCTTCCATCCGACCTGGATACGTGGGCATCTTTCTTGTTCTTTCAGGTGTCTGAGGTCCTCTGCTGGTGTTCAGTAGGTGCTCCGTGAAAACTGTTCCATGTGTAGCTGTACTCTTGGTGTCTTTGTGGGGAGAGGTGAGCTCCACGTCCTCCTCTGCCATCCAGAGTCCTCTCAGGTGTTTTTTCCTTAATCAGTAATTCAGGTATTGTTACTAAGCAGATACCACAACAGGTGCCACTTGTTGAGCACATTCTCTTGGCCTGAAATTGCAAAGAGTTTTTTACACATTTTTCTAATTTATAGTTGACAATCATTAAATGAGGTTGGTTGTTAACTATTTTCTTATCATTTATAGATGATAAAACTGAGGCTTAGATAAGGTAAGAACTTGCCCAGATCACATAGCTAGTCATGGGGTTTAGCTTTTCATGACTCCAAACTCCTCTTTGTACTACTCCTAAAATACTGAAGAAGCACTGGAGGAGGCCAGAGAAACAAGACCCTGCCCACCGGGGAGTCACAGGTTAGTGGGTCTCCAATATCCCCATAGCCATAGTGGGTGGTGTTGAGGTTCTGGGTTTGGGTTTGGGTTTTTGTTCTTTAAGCCACGTTGTTCTGCCTGGTTTTTCCTTCATTCCACTCACTTGTTCTTGTGCACCCTGATGTGAAGAACTGGATTAAGTATGCCCGCTTTGAAGAAAAGCATGGTTACTTTGCCCATGCGCGGAAAGTGTATGAGAGGGCTGTCGAATTCTTTGGGGACGAACATATGGACGAACACCTTTATGTTGCCTTTGCCAAATTTGAGGAAAATCAGAAAGAAGTAGGTAAATTTAAAGGAACTCAATTATGTTGCAAAAGAGAAAAATGACTTCTTGTGCACATTGAGTTCATTTACAGTTTCTTACTTATCCTTGGAGAAGATAATTTCAAAATATGAAAATATGATTTCTCAAGGAAAAGACAGTGCACGTCACTAACCTGTAGGTTGGGAGTGATTATAGATTGTATTACAACTGTCTTAATTTTGTGTGCTCTACTTGAAAATAAATCTTTAAATCTAGAATGAGAATATTATTTACAAACTAAGAGTCATTTAGTTTAGTCATTTAGGCTCTGATTAAAGGGCTTTACAAGTCATGAGCCTGGGAAACAAAAGGCCTAGAGCCCTCAGTACTGAGAACAGAATTTGAAATGAAAACAAAGATGGCCCCACAACTAAGTCAGTTGTGTTCTCCCGTAGTATGTGTAGGAAATAATCCCTTCACGTAGTTCAGATAATCAGGGATGGGCGGGAGGGCCCTGGCTGAGCAGGTGCGTGATCAAGACCAGCATGGGGAGTCTTGACAACAACCCAGCTGGGCGGGACTGGGGTGAGTCTGAGATGCAAGGACGATGTCCTTGCTGGCAGATTAGGTAGACTTAAATGTGGGGCTCAGAGTATCTGTCCATCCTGACCGAAGTAGCTCAACAAAGGAAGAGGGAAAACCATACTTTGGACACTTTGAGGCCTCACAGTCTAACTTACAGGTCATGTTTTATGTCAGGGTTGCTTTCCATCTTGTGGCTAGAACAGGAGTGCTGTGTTCTGGAAGAGTAACCATCCTGTCTGCTTTCAGTTTGAGAGGGTGCGAGTGATCTACAAGTATGCCCTGGATAGAATCTCGAAGCAGGAGGCCCAGGAACTCTTTAAAAATTATACTATCTTTGAGAAGAAGTTTGGTGACAGGCGGGGCATCGAAGACATCATCGTGAGCAAGCGGAGGTTCCAGTATGAGGAGGAGGTGAAGGTGAGTGTCTCGGGGTGGCACCGATGGACCTGCCAGCCAGTCCTCTCCCCACCCTGTGTCTGCAGTAAACTGGCAGTCACTCCAGAAGGGGGAGGTAAACGGGGCAGGTGGAAAAGGCAAGCAGACAGCCCTTGGACTTGCTCTGCCACACGAGTGTCGGAAGTCATGGTATTGGCAGCTAACTGGACACAAAGAACTTGAGCAAAGGAAATTTGGAACCCGTTTGAGCTCATTGTTTAAAGAAGATGGAAGAGTCAGAGATTGACCTAAAAAAACCATTTTTATACATTACTCTTTAGTTTAACTGCCTGAGCAAGACTGTTGTAGTTATAGTTCCATCCTCATCTCTCTTTGTAACATACTGTTTTGATTTGAATTCAGCGGTAGTAGTGTTTGCCTTTATTGCTCTGCTATGTATTTTAAAATATTTCTGCCTGGTCAAATTAATTAAGATGGCTCCAAACAAAGGACTAAGTGGTGGTAGATGAGGTCAGCGAAATATGTTCAAGATATATTATTATTAAATGAGAAGGCAGGTTCTGCAGTTGTGAAAGTGGTATAGTCCCATTATAATTTTAAATCTAGACAGAGACAGAGTCACATCCATAAACACACCTAGGAGAACAGATGTCTGTTTTCATGGCTGTAGATACTGGGAGCTTTGCAGAATCAGTAGGAAGCTGGAGGAGGAGGCTTGGAAAGTGGGCAGGAATCAGGCCAGTTGCAGAGAGTCCTGAAGTAGAAGGTGGGACAGTCACATTTCAGTCTGGCTGGGAATGATCAACCCACCAATGGAAAGCACTTCCACAAGCCAGTCCCTGCTGTCCTTCATCTCTGTGTCACCCACCCGCATGAGCCAGACTCAGACAGGGGTCCTTACGTTGCCAAGTGCAGTGGCTTCCAGGGGGCGGGAAGGCGGGGCCCCAGCTCCCTTCACTTCTGTGGAGGGGAGGTGTGCAGGGCATCGCCCAGCACAGAGTTGTGCTCAAATTGCTGCTTCATTTAAAAAAAAAACAGAAAACAAGTTGTTAATCAGTTTTTATGCATTTGCCTCTAAGTCATTTTTCCATTTATACCTTCTTTTAGAAAACTTAAAAATTGTGTGTTAAGTGGCTTCAGTTGAGTCCAACTCTGTGACCCCATGGACTATAGCCGCCAGGCTTCTCTGTCCATGGGATTCTCCAGGCAAGAATACTGGAGTGGATTTCCATGCCTTCCTCCAGGGGATCTTCCCAACCCAGGGTTTGAACCCATGTCCCAGATTGGCAGGGAGGTTCTTTACTGCTAGCACCACCTTAGAAACCCAGCTTAAAAACTGGGATGCTCCCCAGCAAAAAAGGCTATTGTAGGTGAAAGGAGCTTTGCTGGGGAACCCCTGGGTAACAGTTTGTCTTCTCTCTCCTTTTCCCTTTCTATTTAGAAAATCTCAAGAATGGTATTTTTCAATAGTGTAAAGTCTATAAAAAAAGCTACTGGAGTATAGAAAGTCAGTCTGGTGTCTTCTGTCAGCTTGCCTAGTCCAGCAGGTGCAGCTCTGGGTTCAGTTTCTATTTAATCCAACCTGGTGTTTCCAGGCTAACCCACACAACTATGACGCGTGGTTCGATTACCTGCGCTTGGTGGAGAGTGATGCAGAGGCCGAGACGGTGCGGGAAGTGTATGAGCGTGCTATCGCCAACGTGCCGCCTGTGCAGGAGAAGAGGCACTGGAAGCGCTACATCTACTTGTGGATCAACTACGCCCTCTATGAGGAGCTGGAGGCCAAGGTGCAGAGCGGGTCCTGGCAGTGGAGGGATGCTTCACTGAGCAGCCGGCTGGCAACTGATACCGTGGAGCCTTGACCACACAGGAATTTCGCTGTACATTCTTACAGGCTTCCCTGCAGCCATTTACATTCTTTCTGCTACATTTTAAACTGTATACCTGTTGTGGGCACAGGCGAGGTGGTTTTTAGTTTTGATGTATTTTTTTAATTTTTTACACCTTGAGGCACTTGAAAGGGAACAATTAACCAGGCCTTAGTTTTATTATTTATAGTTGCCAGGGTTTTCTCATAACTAGGGATCACAGCTGGATTGCACATTCTTGCTGTTAAATCAAGTAGAATTTTCAGAAATTGGTTGTGTGTAAGTTAATAGGAAAAGATGAATCCTGTTGGTCGAAGCCTGCAGAACATCTTTGTTCCTGCTGTCACACAAGAAAGCCTCTCCACTGAGAAGCTCTCCCTTGCTGGCTCAGTGCTGTGGGCAGGTCTTTGATCAAAGCTTGATGCCCAAAGTTAGTTTGCTTTTGATCGTAAATGGAAATAACAGCTTGTGGAAACATACTCAGTGTTAGGGGTGTACATTTTTTTTTAGTAATGGTAAAATTAGTGTTAGTATTGGATGTGAATATTTTGTGCAAATTTCTTATCCTAATGTAGGATCCCGAGAGGACAAGACAGGTTTACCAAGCCTCTTTGGAACTCATTCCTCATAAAAAGGTATGTTTGCTGTAAGCATTCTGTTCTAAACACATGAAAATCCTGCGTCTGTTACTTGTGAAATAATCCCGTGGACGTATTTGTTGATGAGCTCTTTCCCTGTGCTAGGCACCATGGAAAGCATAAATAAGAACAAGGTATGTTCTTTGCCTCTGAAAACAGCTTCCAGTCTAGTTGAATGGACAGCCTTAAGTGACCAGTGCCTGATAGAGATCCTAACGGAGAAATTCCTAGAGGATGGTAACGGGAACAGGCTGAGCAGGTGCGCTCAGCGTGCACAGGGACAGCCAGCAGGCTGCTGGCACCCACGTGGAGGTCCGCGGGCACGGAACACGGGTGTTCTGGGGGCAGTGGACACGTGGTCTCTGCCCTCTCTGGGCAGTTGGCTTTATTTCCTGACACTAGAGATAGAGAGCGATGTTGACCAAATTACTTTCTGGAACAGAGGGGCGTGTTGTGCCCGCTCACCGCACACCCACAAAGCTGCCCCTCACTGGGGGCTGGAGAGCCCTGCGTCACAGTGAGGTGTCCAGATTCCTCTTGGTGATTTCTGTCAGATATTGTCAGCTTAGCTAATGAGAAAATGTCTGTCCTAGCTCTGAAGCTTTAGGGAAATTCACTTGTGGCCTTGTGTTAATTTAAGTGAGTTTTTGTGCTTTTGTTTTCTAGTTCACATTCGCCAAAATGTGGTTACTATATGCACAGTTTGAAATAAGACAGAAAAATTTACCATTTGCCAGAAGAGCTTTGGTGAGTAAATAAAGGATCATGATGCATCATTAAGTCATTTGAGAAGGAAATTTACATTTTAGTGTTTACAGGCTGTCCAGTCCCCCACTAAGAAGGCAGTAGAAATACTGTGCCTTTATAACCTGAGACATGTTTTCGAAAGCTGGGCCTTAGAGAAAAGATTGGGTGATAATCCTTAAATTATTCTGTTGTCAGCAATGGACAGTTATAGCTACCTGTTAACCAGATCTTTCCTGTGGCTAGAGAGATTTGATCTTAAATTGTTAGTAGTCTGATCCTGTGCGAGATTTTTGGTGTATTAAATGCACTTCCGCCTTGACAAGTATTCTGAAGTTTCTCGATAGGATCAGATGCAGCTGTCCTTCTGATAAGCCCCTGGCTGTGGGCAGCAGGGTTTGTTCATTGATAACCCCTTTATCATGGGAAGTGTTCTCTGACATCTGTTTTCCATAAGAGATCCTGAGAATCTAGGTGAGATTCAAAATATTTTCCATACACTTCAGGAACCCCGCCTTTTGCTGAATAGGCCCAGTTGACAGCTGAGCTAGCTGGAGCTTTTCTTCGGCCTGTCAGGAGCCAGTAGAGCAGTGCGGTACTGCAGAGGGAGGGGGTGGTTCACCGGATCGATGCACCAGGGCTCTTGATCAGTGGAGTAACAGCTTCTCGGCCAGGTCAAGGATGTCTGCACAAGTCAGACCCACTCAGGCATCGCCTCGGTGTCTTCTTTTCCAGGGAACGTCCATAGGCAAATGTCCAAAGAACAAATTATTTAAAGGTTACATAGAACTGGAGCTACAGCTTCGAGAATTTGACAGATGCCGGAAGCTTTATGAAAAGTTCCTGGAATTTGGGCCGGAAAACTGTACCTCTTGGATTAAATTTGCAGAATTAGAGACAATCCTTGGTGATATTGAGCGAGCCCGGGCGATCTACGAGTTAGCCATTAGTCAGCCACGCTTGGACATGCCAGAGGTGAGGTGCTCGCTTTTGGCGAGCTTGGCTTTATTATGACCATGGCTTTATTTCAGACACTTGCCCAGCATTACCTTACATAACCATCTAAGTATGTGTGCCTTTTGAAGCATAGAGACGATACCACCTGTAGTCTTTCACTAACATCAGGACTTCTGTTTTAGAGACAGAAAGGCGGGGGGAAGCTCCTCCCTTTAGCGGGTAGCTTAGCCCTGCCCCAGTGACACCAGGATGAATTGGAAATTTACAGGTGGGCTCTTCCTGTCTTTCTGTAACAGAAGGCTAAAGGGGGTGGCCAGGGCAGTGCAGTCAAGGCCATGTGAAGTACAGGGGAGGGGTTCTTCTGGCACAGATTTGCCTGAATTAGGCCCTCACCAAATCAGGATATTCCTGGAGGCACCAGTGCCCTGGCCTGGCCAGCTACGGGGTAAGCTCGAGCCGCCAGGTGGCGCCAAACTGCAACCTGGACAATGTGAACCTCTCAGGAACCTCCAGGCTCGCTCAGGTGTTCTGTGAATCTTGCTCTGGGGTGACTTCACTCAGCTGTTTACCAGGCCCTACTGACTGCACTGGGCAGGGCTTTCTGGGTCACTGGTCCCATGAGTTGACCTCAGCTACCCCACAGACTAGGGTCCCAGGTGTCCAGGCTACATCTTTCTTGTCCTTGTGCCCTGACAAGCTGTACTGAGCTAGTGGGCAGCTGGTCCCTGGATGCTTGTTGAGTTGAACTCAGACACATCAGGGAACTTACAGTGACGGCAAAAACAGTGTACGCTGACTGACCTAGGCCCATTTTCTCCACACAGGTTCCTCATATGTGGCAGGTTTATAATAGTGCTGGGTGGTTTGTTAAGTTTCTCTGCACTTCTTGTTAGATCCAGCATTTGGGAAATTTCAAAAGAAAATCTGGAAATATTTCCAAGGTCTTTTTTCTCATAATGTAGACTCTTAGCCAATTGGCCAGCTCGTAAATACTAGCATTAGTCATATCCACATACTGTGTGTTCCTTAGAAAATTCTAGGTTCCTGGATGTTCTAGGTTAAGATGGTAGTTAGGCTGTGCTTCAAACAGAGCGTGTTGCTTCTTAAATGTCAAGACTGACTTAAGAATTTGTCTTTCTCAGGTGCTTTGGAAATCATATATTGATTTTGAAATTGAGCAGGAAGAAACGGAAAGAACACGAAATCTTTACCGACGATTGCTTCAGCGGACACAGCACGTCAAGGTATCCTGTGGTTTGTGGGCTACCTTTGATTTTGCTCGAATCAGCAGTCTGGAAGAAATAGTGTATTTCTATATTTTAAGTTTTTTTTTTAAAGTATATTTTAAGTGGCTTCCTTTTACAGAGAGCTTGTGAGTCTCAGGACTTTGGAATGTTAAGCTTATATACCAGGCCAGTATTTATACTGCACGTGAGTAACTTGGATATTGTAAGTTGAATAAAAATGAAAACTTTTTTTAGGACATTAAGATTATTTCAGATACTTAATTGAATATAAAAGTAATGGTGACTTCTTCACCATTACTATATAGAAGCAGCTAGTCAATATGTTATATTCTTTAGACTGCTCGATGAATACAGTAGGTATGTTCAGATGTTGTCCACAAGAAATTAGCTTTATTATTACGTTATTGTTTCCTGGGTGACATGGTTAATTTGGTTTGGTAATAATTTCTTTCTAAGGTATGGATCAGTTTTGCACAGTTTGAGTTGTCTTCAGGGAAAGAAGGAAGTTTGGCAAAGTGCAGACAAATTTATGAAGAGGCTAACAAAACCATGAGAAACTGTGAGGAAAAGGAAGAGAGGCTCATGCTGCTGGAGTCGTGGCGAAGCTTTGAGGACGAATTTGGAACAGCGTCAGATAAGGAGAGAGTGGACAAGCTCATGCCCGAGAAGGTCAAGAAGAGGAGAAAGGTCCAGGCTGACGATGGGGTAAGGACTGAGCCCGCGGCGCTGGTCCTCCATGCCAGCCGAGCAGAAATGCCAGACTTTGAAATGCGTGTACGATGCGTGGCATGTGTACAACCTGAGAACAGGGGCGGCAGCTGGGGAAGGAGCCAGTCACAGTCTGGCTGCTGTGGGAACACGGCAGGGTATACGGTCCACCCGGGGTGGAGCCCCGAGGAGGGCTGGCAGAGGGTCTTCCTGGCGCAGCTGGTTCTGCAAACTGTCTGAAGCATGTTGTTTCTGGAGCATTAGACAGGAGGTGGAGGGCACTGAAGCTCAGCCTCTAGGTGGGAACTAATCCAGGGGAGGCTCTGTGGGTGAATTGTGGGGGGCCTGGTTGGAGAGGGTCTCTCGGGAGGCTGTTGTATCAGAGAGGCAGTGCTGGAATCTGGGACAGCGCACCTGTGGGGAGTGCAGTCAGTGGCCGACTGGACATGGGAGGGGCAGGCAGGGAGCCACGTCCCAGGTCTGGCTTCACTGCGAGGTGAAAGGCAAGTAAATCTTTAGAAGTTCAAAATCTCACAGGGCTGCAAGGTGGGGTGGAGGACACTGCATATCTTCTGGTTGGCTGTGGAGCACTTTTCCCACCATGCTGTTGCTTTCAGTGAGCAGCAGCTGCAACAACACCCACCCAGCAGTACTCACTCACTCCTGGTCTCCAGGGCCTGCCCTTGAAAGTAGAACTTTCAAAGTAGGCCTTGATGCTGTTTTGTACAATAAGTTGAATATGAACCCTGGGCTCTATAGTGATGATTCTCTGCTTTAACTGAAAAATGCATTTCAGTCACAGGTTAGCTTATCTTCTGTTTTTCTTTGTCCCTGTAGTCAGATGCAGGCTGGGAAGAATACTATGATTACATCTTTCCGGAAGATGCAGCCAACCAACCCAACCTCAAGCTCCTGGCCATGGCCAAGCTGTGGAAGAAGCAGCAGCAGGAGAAGGAGGCTGGAGAGCAGGACCCAGACACAGACACTGCTGAGCGGGAAGCTGGGCCCTCCTGTTCGTATTGACAGATGTCTTATTATTTTTATAAATGTACAGTTTGGAATTCTTACAACTCCTTTAAGTTTTGTGGTATTCCATCAGTGATGAATTGATGGGGATCTTTTGACAACTACTTTTGAATTATTTTTAAAATGCTCTTGGGTTAGTTGGGGGTGGGGTTTGTAAGTAAAGGAATTTTTCTTTAGCTGCTGGGTTTTCTTTATCTGAGTCTTAAACATTTTGTGTCTCCATCATTCATTAGGAAATCTAATTCATCTATTTTAGATGGACCTGCAGAATTTTGAAAGTCTTTTTCTTTTTATAAAAGTTCTTAATTGCATTCCATAGTAACTTTTAAGTTTTCTCATGGTGGTCTTCATAAAGGTATTTTATGCATTCATCTGACACTTGTGACTTATTCACGTCTCAAGTCACTGACTTGAGTTCCATCCCCAGCTGTCACTTAATGATGCATAACTTAACCTTTCAGTTTACGGACTTTTGCCAGCTCACTTTAAAGATTAAATTAGAAAAGGAGTATACCTGGCACAGAGGGAGTACTTGGTCAAATGTTCATGCATTGTTGAAATGGACGTGCCTGGATTAATTTTAACATCAATAACTGTACCTTCTTAATGGCCATTTATACTAAATGTTTATGAAAACACCAGTTGGAAAATAGTTTACAGTTGCCACATTTCTGCACAAGGTAACTTTTTTTTTTAAAACCAAGAACATTTTAGTAAAATTTCAGTTATACCATACTCAGTTGCCCAAACTGGCTGAGTTCTGCAGTGGCTTGTTTAAAGAACAGTAATTCAGGAGCTATGAAGAACAATGTCCCATGCTCCAGTGAGTGTGGGAAACCCTAGGTTAAGCCTTGCTGACAAGTTTCTTTATACTTAAGTCTTCTTAGGGCTCTTGACATGTTCCTGTGTGTTATGAATCCTCAGCAGCAAGGCCTGGCTGTGTTTCCCAAAATACAGTGAACAAAGAAAGCATTTCTACCAAGAGCACCAATAAACACTGCCCAGCATTGTTGCAGCAGAGACTGTCTACCCGTAAAACTTGACTCATGCAACCTGGCCTCGATTTAGAATGTGAAAGACACCTGCGGTAACTTTAAGTCATGACACAAAGCAATGCAAGATGATGGTGTATTTGCTGGCTGATACATTGCTTATATTCTCAAGCAAAAAAGCATTTGCCTTAGTTAACCAATCTGAGAAGTTGTTTCCTTTAATCTAGCCCGTATTCTCAAGCCTATTTTTTTGTTGTTCACTGCCAAGGTTATTTGACTGGAAGCATATCGGTGTGTTTCTTCACCTGTAGGGACAATTAGCAAATTTACTTGGGCAAATGTATGATTACATTTTCAAGTATGTCAGTCACCCAAGGGAGTAAAAGCTAGTTGTTACAGTGTTAAATTCTATCTTGAAAATAGGAGTGTTTGAGAGCAGAAAGAAATAGGACCAGCAGGTAAAAGCAACTTGTTCTCCACCTCACTGCTTTGGTCACCAGACTGGCATTGGCTGCTGGAGTCATAGGCTCTGAGTCCCGAGGTCTGAGCAGGGGCTTCAGAGGAGCACCATGTTCTGAACTGGCTAAGTTGCACAGGGCCACAGGTGAGATGAAAACAGGCTAGATGCTACTGTAAGTGATGAATCATAATGATGTTTGTGTTGCACATGTGTGAAAGGAAAAAAAACCAGCCAAGTTCTTGTGTAAACTATCACTGTTTGCAGGCATATACCATGCCTGTGTAAAATGCATGAAAGAAAAAGTTACTGTCTTGGGAGAGTATCACTTCTCTCTTGTGTAAACTATCACTGTTTGCAGGCATATACCATGCCTGTGTAAAATGCATGAAAGAAAAAGTTACTGTCTTGGGAGAGTATCACTTCTCTCTCACCTCCACCAAAATAAGTCCTTTCAAAGTAAAGGGTGTTAACAATCATTTGTGATTCTTTTTCATTTTATTTAGCTACTTTTATTCACTGGTATTACAAGTGATGAAAACTACACATGAAAATAAGTGGTTAGCTTGTGATCTAATCATTTAGCCCCCTCCCCCCTTTTTTTTTCTTTTTAAGAAATTAGGCTCTGTTCTCCCTTTATCATCTTTTTGTATTCTGAAAGGCAGGAATATAGTACTGTGAAACTAGGCAGGAAAGACCCGAGACTGGAAGTGTGGAAACAAGCATCTGGGAAGACCTTAGTCTGCAATAAGCAGGAAGCTTAAGTGTGCCAGGCAGGGGCTGTCACGGAAGCATTTAAACAGTGCTTTGTATGTAAATGAAAAATGTGACAAACCCTAAGTGATGACCTTTCTCAATCCTGCTAACTTTAGGTTTACAAATGACCATCAAACTTCCAGAAAACATTCATAGAGTCAACAGTGCATTTTATTATACATCTTAGATTTATACATTTCATATATGCTTTTAAAGCTTAAGTTCAATACAAAATAAAAACTGTATATGCAGCAGTGGTTCTCAGGCACAGAATTTAGGGGGAGACTAGAGCACTCGTTTTCCCTGGCACACCGTGAACAGTGTGTTATTAGCCATGACAGTGGAAGGTTTCCTTCTCACCTAGCTGCCTTTTTTGGTTGGATTTTATTACAGTGAACAGCTTTAGAAGGTATGATATTGCTAACAGGAAACAAGACGACTTAAAATAAGTTGACAACCTGTATTTTCTTGAAGTCTTTAAGAGCTAAACGATCCCCTTCTCTCCTAATAGAGCTCCAAGGTCATCTAATGAAAAAATATTGTCCATAATTCTATCTGGAGCATCATCAGCCTAAGAACCACTGCTCATGGTTATTCAATGTCTTCTGGCCTCACAGGATGAGGTAATGGTATGATGGACTTCTTCTCAGTGTCCCTGGATAGCGCTTTCCTCATATCTGTTAAGAAGCAAAGTTTAATGTAAGTACCCAAATGTCAGAGTATGATTTTGTATCCGATTTAAAGTGTACAGGTGTTTAAAAAAACACCAAAACCATAAGCGCTTTTGTCCCCTACTCTCCCACTTTTACCAGATTCTAAGAGAAATGTATTTATAAGTGAGACTCCCAAGCAGGAATACACGAAACACTAATCGAACCCTAGTGGGATTTAGCTCTTCCTACAAATGTTCTTTTGACAAAGTCTTAGTAACATGTCTGTAACAGCAAAACAATTGATGGTAATTAACCATTGGTTAGTTAATGTAAGTTAGTAGTAGGTTCATGAAGGTACCTTACAGGAGATTTACATACTATAGCTCAAATTTAAATATGATTTTTTTTAAGTGTATTAAAAGAGCCGAGTATTTTGGTCTATAGGATGCATGTAAACGTCCCTTCCTCTGGGACGCTGCCCCAGCAGGGACTCACCGTAAGCGTCCTCGTCGGGCTCCCCATTGCTTGCCGAATAGTACTCTATGACTGTCCTGTACACGCTGTAGCCCAGCTGCTTGTACATGTTGACAGCAACTTGGTTAGAGACTCTTACAAAGAGATCAACAAAAAATCCACCCTTTCTGTAATTAAAAAAAAAATCAGAATGGGAAAAGTCCTAGAAAACAATACTGGTATGAATAGTTTCTCTCTTCATTTACATAGGTCATATTTACTGTCTCCAGATATAGCTGTATGAACTTCAGAGAGGTCTTACATAGCTTTTGTTAGATTTTTCCTAAAGGCTTAGTGGACTGATGCCAATGCAGATCTCATCCTCTTAATGTTACTATTGTATAGAAACACAGCTGAATTTAGACTCACTTTATATCCAACAAACTAGATTCTTACAGGTTTTTTATGTGTACACTCTTATCTGTCCAAATAAGTTTCCTCTCAGTCATCATACCTTTTTTTTTTTTTTAATTGCTCCACTGTACGGTCAAGGATTTCCAGTAATTACTAAGAGAAGCATTCCATGCATCACCTCTAATATTTACTATAGGTTTTCAGTAAATAATTTTTGTTGGTTAAAGTTTTCCCTTTATGTATCCTAGATTGCTTAATCAAGAGTGAATACTGTATTTTATCAAAGCATTTTCTACATTTACTGAAATTAAAAAATGTTCTTCAGTCTATTAATTGCTAGAATACATTCTTAGGTTCACTGCTAAGTTTTTCTAGGACTTCTGCATCTGTAATGAGATGTTCTTTCTTGTACCGCTTATCAGGTTTTTGTTAAGATTATCCTAACCTTAAAAAATAAGTTCTCTTTTTGCGTGTAAGATTGAACTTAAGTCATTTAGTCATTTTCAAGCTAAGAATCTTTTTTTTTTTTTTTAACAATTTGGAGGGACAACTCTTAAATATTTAGAAATATATTTTAATGTTTTGCCTATGTTGTCTTCAAGAAGTTTTATGGAGTATGGTGACATTTATACAATGAAAACATGAAACCCACTAAACTACATTTTAAAAGGATGAACGTTACAGAATACATCAATTATAATGTGCAAGAGAGACCTCAGGTGGCCCTGTGAACCCTTTCTGGTGGCCCAGAAAAAGTTCATTGACCCCTGTTTTATACAATAAAATCAATTTCTGATTGTTCTAATTAGGAGTAGGCCTGTTCATACCTCTGATTATGATGATCTGTTTCTTCCTGTAGTTTAGTCAGTTGTTGCATTTTTACTTTGTTTGTCACTGGGTATGTAACTTTTGATTGACTCTTACCAATATGGAGTGACCGTTTTTTATTCTAGTAATAACTATAATGTGACTTAACTACACCCTTAATTGCTTTTCAGTTTTTATTTGCTTTAGAATTTGCATAATTTAAAAAGTGAAGTGAGCATAAGTCACTCAGTCATGTCCAACTCTTTGCGACCCCATGGACTATACACTTCATGGAATCCTCCAGGCGATCGATCCAACCCAGGGATCAAACCCAGGTCTCCCGCATTGCAGGAGATTCTTTACCAGCTGAGCCACCAGAGAAGCCCAGTTTAGAAATTTACTTTTAATCTTACTGTATCTTTACATGTATTTCCTGTAAATAGAGTACAGCTCTGACAGTATCATTTTTTTAATCTGTCTTAAGAACACTAAATGTGAGGTTCACCCTATTGGTAAATTGTAAATGTAATAACTTCCCATTCCCCCTCCCCCCACCATTCCACTCGTTATGAATCTAACTACCTTAGGTCTCTGAGTGGTATCAAGTAGTGTTTGTCTTTCTGTGACTGGCCTATTTCACCTGGCATAATGTCTTTGTCTTTAAACTGGAGTTATTAGTTCCTTAACATTCACTGTTGTACTTACCTAATTATATTGGGATTCATGACCACCACCTCATTTCATGCTTTTTGTTTTGCCACTTTAGTTTTTCTTTTGGTTTTTATTAGCCAATTTTTTTTTGGAAATACAATTTCTATTTTTAGTGAACATTATTTAATATATACATGTGTATATATATATGTATATGTATAGGTACACACACACTCCTGTACAAATACAGGTCACTTGAATCTCAGTAACTACTGTAATGAAGGTTTAGGAACTGGAAGGGAAAGGAGAGTAGTAATTTTCTACTCTAAAAGATAGTCTGTCCTATAAATTTTATGTGTAAGGTCATGGCTATTAGAACACATGTCTGAACTCCCTGTCCACTATAATAATAATGTCAGATAACTTTTTCAATAAGACGTGCATGCCATTAATTCTTGTGTGTAAACTACAATCTTCCTAAAAATTTTCTCCTCTTCCCTGTTCAGTCTAGGAGAACCTGATTCTGCAGAACCACCTGCATTCTTGTTTTATATTGATTTTCATGTGGTCCTGGGGCTTTTTAATGACAGGAATTTTAAAATTCTTAAGGACTAGACTTCTTTTACAGCTTAAACAAGAAGGAACTCAAGTTCCCTCTTGCCCTCAACTTGCCTCAAGTCGACTTTTGAGGCCATGGGTTACTTCTGTAAAACGCTCCACTTTAATCTATTTAATATAAGTAACACATAAAAAGTGTCTGATATATAAAACAGGTCTTTTAAAAAAAAGCCACAATGTTGGCTGTTCAAACTGTGCTGCCAGGTGGTCCAAACTCATGGAGGTGCTGAAGAATATTTCAAACATTTTGGGAAAACACAGGCAAGCCTTACCTGTTGAACACGGGCAAACTATTGGCTTTGTATAGTTCACAAATACACATCACATTATATTTCTTTTGGTGACACAATGTCGTTATGAAGTCAGGCTTTTAGCAATTCCTGTTATTATAAAGCCCCAGGGCCACATGAAAATCAATGTGAAACAAGAGTGCAGGTGGCTTTGCAGAATCAGATTCCACAGTTTTGAGAAGCCATGTGATGCCCAGCAGGTGGATCTCATTAGGAGATAATCACAGTGATTAAAAATGAAATGAAAATATTTCAGTTTTACCGCTTAAAACTATAAACTTTTCTTTAGCCTAGGACACTACTGAAAGAATTACTGAGATGCAAAGGGCAATGTTAACAAAGAATTGGGGAATATATCTGCCACAGTGGCAAGAACAGTAACAGAGACCTTGAGGGCTAGATTCTGATTCCACCAATTACCCAGCTCAAGAGTCTACAGAACGTCATTCACTGTGCTTTAATTTTCCTCAGTGGCAAAACAGGGACAATAATACCACTATGAATATGTGAAAGAACTGTTGTAAGGACTATTAGAGGCTTAACATGAAATTCCTATGAACCTGCATCATGACAACCTTCAACCTGAAGGAAACAACTGATAAACATTTACCAAGAGAAAAAGAGTTCAAGAATTACTTGAAAAACAGGCTCCTACCTTTCTGAAATTTCCTCTAGTAACTCCATAAGTTTAGCAGCCAAACCAAGGCGCCGAAATTCTGGGGCAACGGAAAGAGCTGTGACGTGCCCGTGCCATTCTTCCCTCGCCACTGAGCCTTCTGCTTTGCCCATGACTGCCAACGAAAGACCACATCCAGTAACTGAACAAGGCAACTACACATGGAGAAATACTGTGTGGTACACTTTTATCATAAAGGAAGCGACCAAACCCTGATTTTTAAGTAACACTTAAAGCCGGGGTCCCCAACCTCTGGGAGACCTGATGATCTGAGGTGGAGCTGAAGTAGTAATAATAGAAATAAAGTGCACAATAAATGTAATGTGCTTGAATTGTCCAAAAGCCATCCTCACCCCCACCAGAAAATTGATCTTCCATGAAACCGGTCTCTGATGCCAAAGTTTGGGGACTGCTGCTTAAAGCCATCTAGCTAATTGCTAGTGCTCTTACCTGATATGTATTTTTTAAATGACCTACATTTCGTGTGGGTATGTGTGTGTGTGTACACACAACAGACAATCTACAGCTCAAACTTGTGTCAGTAACATGACCAGTTCTGTTTGGGTCACTGCTATATCTCCTGGGCCTAGCAAAGTACCTAAGACAGAGGGATCAGTAAGCTGTCCAAGAGTTGAAAAGAAAATAAAATTACAGGCATCATGATTATATTTCCAGTTCTGTGATCAGTCTAAGAGTTAAACACTATTTTTTATCTTAACTGCTTACCCAGAAAAGCACTAGTAGTGTTATACTTACTATAACCCATTAACTCTCCACCAGGGGCCTCTGCGACAATGAAGTACTCTGGCCAGTGGGCGAGGTACTGTAGGTAAAAAGGAATCCCATACTAGAGACTCGTTAAGGAGGATGCAAAGTAAGGACAGTCAGAGTTCTTCACAAAACGTGAAGTTTCCTTTAAAAAGCATATTGTTCCTTTATCCCTAACCATATGTATGATTTCTGCAATCAATTCATTACATGAAATGTTTAGGTTAGCACTAAGTTTTAAGAAAACTGCCTAAATATGTAACCTCAGATGTGAACGGAGACATACCATCCAAGAGTGGAGAACCAGAACCCCCAAGTTCTACAGCCTGTCTCCCGGCTGCTCACACTATGTCTAGCATCCCTTCCCCATCACCTGACATTCCTGTTTACTGTCCCCTTACAGTGTGAGCACCACCTGCCTTCTCTCCCTGGAGCTGGGCACACGTCAGTATGTTTACTTCTCCCTTTCGGCACTAGGAAATGAATGACTAGTGCCCTCATTAGCTTCAGGCATGGGACAGTGAAAATAACTTTAATTTACTTCCAAAGGCTACTTAACAAACCCAGTTTGTCCAGTCCACTGATTCAAATTCTGCATTTCCAGTAATGCAGAAAATAAAAACCTGATGCTCTTCAGCCCTGCTGTCCTGCTGAGTTGTACTCATTTCTATACTTCTCAGTATTAACTTGGAGGTGCAGTTCTATTAAGGGACACCATCAGCCTTTTTTTTAACTTTCTGGAAAATCTTTTTGTAAATTCTTCAAACTCTCCTCTGAAGGACAGCCTTTCTTCTGTCTCTCAAAACATCATCATTAACGTGAAAGCAAAAGTCTTTCTGCCACCCAGCCACACACCATAACTGTCTCTTCTCTGGCTACTGAAGGAGCCCTAGGCACTAGCTTATGGACCATGAAACCCTGGCAGGCACGTCAGCCGGTTTATGGGACTTTTGCCAAAAACTTTACGTATATTGCATTGTTAATACTTTGCCTATTATACAGTGAAAAATTTTCTGTCATTCAAAATTCTTCAAAATCCTTTCACTTTTTTAAACAGGGGTCTTTAATAGATCATAATCTTTTCAATACAAATGAAAATTGAGATTTTGGTTTTGCTTTTTTCACTGAACTTTGTTTCTGATATTCAGCCCTACTGTCACCTGTTGATGTTTACTGCTGTTAGTATTCCACTGACATAACTCAGGGGCAAACAAACATTTCCTATAAAGAGTCAGATAGTAAATATTCCACGGCTGTGTGACCCATATGGTCTCTATTGCAACTACTGTGAAAGCCACAATAAATCCTAAACTTCCCTGTGTGGAAAAGGTTATTAGCATCAAGAAAAGCATGAATGGGAAAGCCCACAAGTACAGGCAAAAGAGGTAAAGGTAGGAGATCCTCCACACACAGATAAAGTATCAAAACCAACAGTATTGGAAATGCATCAGAAATTGAGACCAGCAACTTAAAACAATCCTGTATGTATACAGACAGACTACTGTATCAAAACCTCATGTAAAGCACAAACCAAAAATCTACAATTAAGACACACACAAAAAGCAATCCAAACACAACACTAAACAGAGGCATCAAACCACAAGAGAACAAAAAAGGAAGGGAAGGAAATACCTACAAAAACAAACCCCAAACAAGAAAATGGCAGAAAGAATGTGTCAATAATTACCTTAAATGTAAATGGATTAAATGCTCAAAAGACACAGACTTGCTGAATGGATACAAAACAAGACCCATATATATGCTGTCTCCAGGAGACCCACTTCCAATCTAGGGACACACACAGCCTGAAAGTGAGGGGACAGAAAAAGGTATTACATGCAAATGAAAAATCAAAAGAAAACCAGAGTAGCAATACTCATATCAGACAAAATGGACTTTAAAGACTGTTACAAGAGACAAAACGATCAAGGGATCAATCCAAAAAGATGTATACATGCACCCAACATAGGAGCACCTCACTATATCCTGCCAATGGTAACAGAGAAAGAGAAATCAACAAAACACAATGATAGTGGGTGACTTTAACAAGCCACTTCATCAATGGACAGAGACAAAACCAATGAGGAAACACAGGCCTGAAATAACACATTATACTAAATAGATTTAACTGATATCTATAGAACATTCCATCCCAAAGCAGAATACACTTTCTTCTCAAGTGCACATAGAACATTCTCCAGGATAGATCACATACTGGGCCACAAAGCAAACCTTGGTAAATTTAAGAAAGTTGAAATCCAAGCATCTTTTCTGACCACAACACTATGAGATAAGAAACCAAATACAGAAAAAAAAAAATTCAAACACATGGAGGCTGAAAAATATTTACTAAACAACCAATGGATCACTAAAGAAATCAAAGAAGGAATCAAATACCTAGAGACAAATGACTGTAAGAACATGACAGTCCAAAACCTACACTGCTGCTGCTGCTAAGTCACTTCAGTCGTGTTCAACTCTGTGTGACCCCATAGACAGCAGCCCACCAGGCTCCCCCGTCCCTGGGATTCTCCAGGCAAGAACACCAGAGTGGGTTGCCATTTCCTTCTCCAATGCGTGAAAGTGAAGTTGCTCAGTTGTGTTCAACTCTCAGCGACCCTGTGGACGGCAGCCTACCAGGCTGCTACGTTCCTGGGATTTTCTAGGAAAGAGTACTGCAGTGGGGTGCCATTGCCTTCTCTGCCAAAACCTATGGAACATATCGAAAGCAGTTTTAAAAGAGAAGTTTATAGCAATATAGTCTTACCTCAGAAAACAAGAAAAATATCAAGTAAACAAAGCAACTAAAGAAAAACAAAACCTCAAAGTAGAAGGAAAGAAATCATAAAGATCAGAAAAGAAATAAATGAAAAAAATCAATGAAACTAAAAGCTAGTTATTTGAGACAATAAAATAGATAAACCTTTAGCCCAAACTCATCAAGAAAATAGAAAGCTCAAATAAATTAGAAATGAAAAAAGTTACAACTGACACCACAGAAATACAAAGGATCATAAAAAACTACAAACAACTATATGCTAATAAAATGGACAAATTCTTAGAAAGATACAATCTTCCAAGACTGAAGAAACTGAAAATATGAACAGACCAATCACAAGTACTTAAATTGAGAGTGATTTTAAAATGTCCAACAAACAAAAATCCAGGACCAAATGGCTTCACAGGTGAATTCTACCAAACATCTAAAGAAGAGTTAACACCTATCCATCTGAAACTTTCCCAAAAACTGCAGAAAAAGGAACACTTCCAAGCTCATTCTATGAGGCCACTATCACCCTGATATCAAAATCAAAGATACCACAAAAAAATAATTATAGGCCAACATCACTGATGAACACAGACACAAAAATTCCTCAATAAAATATTAGTAAACCAAACCCAATAATACATTAAAAGGATCATACACCATGATCAAGTGGATTTATCCCAGGGATGCAAAGATTCTTTAATAGCTTCAAATCAATGTTATACAGCACATTAACAAACTGAAGAAAAACCATAGGATCATCTCAATAGAAGCAGAAAAAGCTTTTCACGAAATCTGACACCAATTTATGATAAAAACTGTCCAGAAAGTTGGCATAGAGGGAACTTGCTGAAACTCCAATACTTTGGCCACCTCATTCGAAGAGCTGACTCTTTGGAAAAGACCCTGATGCTGGGAAGGATTGGGGGCAGGAGAAGAGGACGACAAAGGATGAGATGGCTGGATGGCATCACCGACTCGATGGGCATGAGTCTGAGTAAACTCCGGGAGTTTGTGATGGACAGGGAGGCCTAGCGTGCTGCAATTCATGGGGTTACAAAGAGTCGGACACAACTGAGCAACTGAACTGAACTGAACCTAAACCTAATAAAGGCCATATAGGATAAACCCACAGCTAACATCATTCTTAATGGTGAAAAGCCAAAAGCATTCCCTGAGATCAGGAACAAGGCAAGAATGTCCACGATCACCACTTTTATTCGACATAGTTTTGAAGTCCTAGCCACAGCAGAGAAGAAAAAGAAAGAAAAGGAATCTAAATTGAAAAACAAGGAAAACTGTCACTACAGATGACATGATACTACACACAGAAAATCCTGAAGATGTTACCAGAAAACGACTAAAGATTGTCAGTGACTCTGGTAAAACTGCAGGATACAAAGTACACAGAAATCTCTTACATTCCATACACTAATGATGAAAGATCAGAAAGAGAAATTCAGGAAACAATGCCATTTACCATTCACATCAAAGAGGAAAAAAAAAAAAAAAAACCTGGGTATAAGCCTACATAGGGGACAAAAGACCTGGACTCTGAAAACTTTAAGATGCTGATGAAAGAAATCAATGCCAGACAGATGGAAAGATACACCAAGCTCTTGGATTGGAAGAATCAATATTGTCAAAATGACTATACTACCCAAGGCAATCAGGTTGAATTGCAACCCCTATCAAATTAGCAATGGCATTTTTCACAGAACAAGATTTTTTTTATTTTTTCATTTTATATGTAAACATAAAAGACCTCAAAGACCCAAAGCAATCCTAAGAACAATAAACAGAGCTGGAGGAATCGGGCCCCCTGACTTCAGACTACTACAAAGCTGCAGTCATCAAAACAGCATGGTACTGGCGCACGCACGCACACACACACACAAGCACACCACACCATGGAGAAAAGAGTCTCTTCAGTAAGTGGTGCAGGAGAAGCTGGACAGCTACATGTAAAAGAATGAAATCAGAACATTCTCTAACACTATACACAAAAATAAACTCAAAATCAATCAAAGACCTAAATGTAAATAAGATACTATAAAACTCTTAAAAGAAAACACAGGTAAAATGTTTTTTTACATAATCATGTCAGTATCCTTTAGAGTAATCAAAATAAATGGGACCTAATTAAACTTAAAAGCTTTTGGACAGCAAAGGAAACCATAAAAAAAAAAATGAAAAGACAATTCACAGAATGGGGGGAAACTATCTGCAAATGAAGTGACTGAGGTGGTTAATTTCCAAAACATACAAACAGCTCATGCAACTTTGTATCAAAGAAAACAACCCAACCAAAAAATGGGCAGATATAAACAGAATTTCTCCAGAGAAGGCATATCAGTGGCTAAAAAGCACATGAAATAGATGTTCAATATCCCTAATTATCAAAGAAAAGCAAATCAAAACTACAATAAGGCATCACCTCACAGTGGTCAGAATGGCCATCTTCAAAAAGTATACAATAAAATGCTGGAGAGGGTGTGCAGAAAAGGGACCCTTCCTAGGGAATATAAACTGGTAGGGAGAACAGTACGGAGGTTCCTTAAAAAACTAAAAATAGAACTACCATATGATCAAGCAGTCCCACTCCTCTGTTATGTATCAGAAGGAAACTAACTCCAAAAGATACATGCATCCCAATGTTCACTGCAGCACTGTTTATAATAGCCAAGCAACCTAAATGTCCATTGACAGATGAATGGATAAAGAAGGTGTGGTAAACACATACAATGGAATATTACTCAGCCATAAAAAAATGAAATAATGCCATTTGCAGCGACCTGGATGGACCCAGAGATTATCATACTAAGTGAAGTGAGATAAAGACAAGTATCATATGCTATCACTTTTATATGGAATCTAATTTAAAAACTAATACAAAGAAAGTTACTTATAAAACAGACTTCTAGACATCAAAAACAAACTTATGGTTACCAAAAGGAAAACATGTGGTGAGACGATAAATCAGGAGTCAGGGTTTAACATACACACTACTATATATAAAATGTGTGTGTGTGTAAATAACAGATAAGAGCCTACTGTACAGCACATGGACCTCAACTCAGTATTCTGAGATAACCTACATGGGAGAAGAATCTGATAAAACAATGGTTTTTTATATATAACTAATTACTCTGCTCTATACCTAAAACTAATGAAATACTATGTATCAATTATACTCACATTTTTTAAAGGTCACAAAACAAGAAGGATTGTTAATATATATTACAGATACTCACTATCAGTTTTAGATATTTAAAAAACTTGCTTCCATTCTATTATGCTCTTTAAGTAGATATACATGTTTTAAATATTCAATTATTTCTTGTGCTGAACTGACCTAAAGGTTCAGAAAATTTTAACAAGAGTTTTACTTTTTGACTTCAAAGTCTTAATAAAGTTTTTACTACAAAAAAAAAGTACACACACATGCACACCCACACCCACATATTCTTGATTTCTACTGCTTGATTTCTATTCTTGATTTGTACTAGGTGTACACATGCTACTGATTTTTCAAAACTTGATCTTGGTTCCAACATTGGTGAACATTCTTATTCTTAACAGGTTGTTCATTTTTCTAGACTGATGATTGTACTATCAATTATAAATGATGACAGTTTTATTTCTAACTTTCTCATCCTTATACTTTTTCCTTCCTTATGGAAGTTTGGTCAGTTCCTCTAGAACTATGTTAAAGGGTAGTAGTGACAGTAGGCATTCTTATCTTCTGTCCTATCTTGAAGGGAATGTATCTTAATTTCTCATTCAAGTATATAAAGCTTGCTGAAAGTTTTAAAATATAAAATCTTTACCAAATTAATAAAATTCCTTCTAGTTCTAGCTTGTTATACATTCTTAACCATAAAAAAACACTACACTGTAAGTCAGCTATATTTCAACTAAAAAAAAAAAAGAACTGTGAAAGTCCAGGACTAGAGCACAGTGTGTAAATCATTCCCCAGTAAAGCATTACTTACAAAACAGGGCCATGCATGTAAGCGTGCCCACCCCTGACATAAATGCCTCTATTGTTATTTTCAGGTTCCAGGAAACTGAATTACCAGGTATTCATAAGTAAAGTATCTTCAAAAGACTAGCTTTTGACCATTCTCATAAATTGCTCTGTCACTAGCAATTTATGAGAATACTCCCCTCGCCTCACCTCCATCAGCCCTGAGCTTCATCACTGCTTGAAATCCTTGATAGTTTGATAGATATAAACATGTTATTTCTTTTTGGTTTTAATTATCATGTCTTTTAATTGGTGAGACTGAACCCTTGAAATTTTCATAGCCTCCTATATGCCCTCTTGGTTAAATGATCAATTAATACTACCCTCTTACCCCACAGTGGACATGGCACATAACCCAGAAATCCAACTCTGTGCTTCAAGCTGTTGAGAATGTAGGAGTTATCTATTCAGGTCAGAGGACCCTAACTTCACACATCCTTGCCCATGTTTCCATTGGGGACCATGACAGATACTGCTGATTGTTACCTAAAATCATTTCTTCCCCCTTTAGCAGCCAGCCTGAATGTAAACCCCAGGCTCATCCCAGACTGTTCTAGATAGGTGTGTCTCGAGGCAGGTGCTGGTCGGAAAGGGGGCTGCGTCACACCTCCCAGTGGTCCCCTTGGCTTCCCCTCTGCTGATCGGCGCTCCTGCCAGGAATGCGGATGAGATGCCATAGACTCTGGAAGCCAGGGTCCCCCGGATGAGAGAGTGGTCCCAGGGCAGAGCCCGGAGTCTAGGACATCACGGAATCGCCTGGCACTGATCATCCTCTTGAGGCTTTGTTCTTATCAGACAGAAACAGCCCCTCCTGCTGAAGTCACAGCTTTCTGCTGCTCACAGCTATGCTTACTACTGAGGGGCAGGGAGGGCAGGGGATTGTACTGTTCTTGATTTATGAGGTCATTATATTAGTAGCTTGTCAGCAAATGTAAGATAACTCTTGTTCCCAGTTTTTAGTTTCTTTTATTCTTAATTGCCTTCAATGTTGTTTATGATGTTTCCTGACCTCCAAGTCTTAAACATTTTCAGTATTCAAGTCTATTTTTTTTCCTTTTCTCTACTTTCCTTACTCTTAGAAGCCTTTATTTAAACTTTATAAAAAAAGGATACAGTTTCTGTAAGTGGATCCAAGTTACTAAAAGAAACAAGAGAAATGTCAACAGTAAACAGTGTTTACAAAATCAGTTTAAATAGGCCAATTACAACTAAAAATAACATGCACAGGGAAAACAACATGTTAAATTCACAACTTTAAACCAACTTTTCAACTAAGAAAAATGGTTTAACCTAATGACCATATTAAGCCATCATTACAGTCACTATAAAGACACCCGTATATTTTCATTTAACTGTTTCTTTACAAATTACTTTACAGTTAATACATCATCAAAACATTCCATCTTCTTTTTTTTTTGGGCCATGCCTCACCGTGGCCTGTAGAATGTTAGTTCTGCAACCCAGGATTGAACCCATGCCCTCATGCACTGGGAGCACTATGTCAACCACTGGATCACCAGGGAATTCCCTACAATTTTCCATTTTATAACCACAGTAAACTGTATGGAACTGGTGACCAACCTGGGGTGTCAATCACAGACAGGGCTACGCCAGCCGTGTAGCATGTGCCAAGGGCCGTCCCTCCCTCATCCCACCCTCCAAACGTGGGCTCTCTCACTCCTGGGGCTTCTGCTCCCCACTGCCCCCATTCTCATACTTCTAATTTTGCTCTCAGAGGAATACTCCTTACCTGGCTCTGGAGCTGCTGAGCACCTGCCTCATCAGCGTGTCTGACCACAACACTCCCAAATCAGCATTTCCACACCTGCCTCCCTCCACAGAGAGCTCTGCCCCTCACTTTCCTATTCAGTCAGTGGAAGCACAATCCTGGCGGACCCCAAAACAGCGCCCTCAAGTCCTCTCACACATGCAGTCAAGCTCTTCCTCGGGACCTTTAGCGATAGCAACAGTCACAGTGCATTTCTGGAGACCAGCAAATCTTAGCACCCCTTTATACTCAAAACTTACTGAAGACCCCAAGACTTAAATCTATGGATATTTAAAAGTGCAAGACATTTGTTCATTTTTTAAAAATCAGTTAAATATTAATGTGAATGACTTTTTTTAAACCAAAAGTCACTATTTTCAAAGACAAAAGAAAATTTAGTGACAGGAATGTCATTATTTGAACAATTTTACGTATCTTTTTAATGTCTGGCTTAATAGGAAACAGCTGATTTCTCATTTCTGTGTCTGCTATGCTTTGTTAGATGATCACACATCTGGAAGACTCCACTTGTGCACTAGTAAGAGAATGAGAGTTAAAAAAAAAGCAATAAAAAACAAAAAACTGGACTTCCCTGGTGGTCCAGTGGTTAAGACTGTGCTACATTATCATGCAGGGGGCCAGGGCTCAATCCTGGTTGGGGAATTAAGATCCCACATGCTGTGCGGCATGGCCAAAAGGTTTTAAAAAATCAAAAAACCTTAGTTTCATCATGAAAATAGCTCTGACCCTGCAAAACCCCCTCAAGCAATCTTGAGGTGCCCCTGCCCACACCTAGAGAATCACTGCTCTAATTCAGTATAGGACTCACTCTCCGCCCTTCTCAAGACTACTTTACCCTCTCCTGTCTCCTCAATGCTCCCTCTTCCAGCTCAGCTGCTTCTGACTTCAGGAAGAAAACATAACTGTAATAAGCAGCTTCACCAAGGTTCCAGCAGCCACCCCACCTGCTCTCTGCCTGCGGCACTGGGCCCAGGCCCGGAGTGCAGGTCAGCAGGTCCACCGCCTCTCAGGACCCAGCAGCCAGTCCCGAGAGAAACGGACAAATGTGCTGCACCCTAGGCCGTAAGAACACGTGACACAGTCCACAGCTCCGTCCCCGACATGCTGTCCTCTCAGCCTCCAGACCCAGCAGTAGGCTTTCCTCCTGCTTCACTGGGCCACTGTGTCTCCTTCACCACGCGATGCCCCGGGTGCCATCCTGGAGCCTTTTCTCCTGTCCGCACTCATCAGTGAAGTCATCGAGCCATCTGGGTTTAACACCATCCATGCAGTGTTGACCCCCAAGCTTCTATTTTTAGCCCAGACCTAAACTTGAGACGCCCGTGCCCGGATGCCTGCCTGACTTCTCTACCTGGGGGTCTGAGCGCCCTCTGCAGAGAAGCCCGTGTCCAGCTGGCCTCTCCAAGGTCGAGCCCTCTGACTCCGACCTGGTGTCCTCACACTCCCACTTGCTGCTTGGGCCACACTGGCGGCCGCCTCCGCCTCCCCCACTGCATGTCTGAACAGGAACCAGTGCCCATACTACTCTGCCCATACCACCCATGCCCCCAAAGCCTACACACTCCCCTTACCCCCATCTTTCTGCAGTGACACCTTCCCTGAAACACCTCACCCAAAGTCGAATCCATATGTACTTCCTATTTCCCTTTCCTGCTCTCATTTTTCCTTGTTTACTGAACACTAAGTTCTATCTTACTTTCCCCCCTAAAATGTAAATTCTGGGAATTCCCTGGCAGTCCAATGCAATGGTTATGTACAATGACTTCAGTTTTCAATGACTGGTTTTCACTGCCGAGGGTCTGAGTTCAATCCCTGGACGTGGGAAAGCAGGAACGACAAGCTGTGTGGTGTGGCCAATTTCAACAAATAAACTACAAATTCCATAAAGATAACATGTTTTGTTCACTACTGTCTCTTCAGCACTGGCAGGCATAAAATATTTTTCCAAGGATAAAATATCTGCTGTTAATTGCAATGTTTCTACATCTGTTGCTTCTTTCAGTTACTACTGCAACATCCTACCCCAGTGATTCTCCGTGTTCTTGACAGAAGCGCCCTAATCAAGGTGAGAAACAGAAGGAAGTGAGGAGGGAGAGGAGTCCCCCACTGGCACAGACTGAAGGTAGGCCTTAACAAGTTAGATGACTCTGAAATCAAATTGTTGTTGTTTAGTTGCTAAACTGATAGTGAAGTTGCTCAGTCATGTCTGACTGTTTGCGACCCCATGGACTGCAGTCTATCAGGCACCTCCATTCATGGCATTTTCCAGGCAAGAGTACTGGAGAGGGTTGCCATTTCCTTCTCCAGGGATGTTCCCAACCCAGGGATCAAACCCAGGTCTCCCGAATTGCAGGCAGATGCTTTACAGTCTGAGCTACCGGGGAAATTAATACATTTGAAATAAGGGGGCCCAAATGTCCTACATGAGTAGTGGGACAGTAACCATGCAAATCAGTCCTCCCTTCCTCCCCATCCTACAAACAAAAACGTCGGCAGTAGTTGCGGATCCCCAGGATAAAACCAAAATGTAAAGAAAAGGACTAGAACCTCTGGTGGGTGAGTGGGTGGGTGAGTGAGTGAGTGAAAGTCGCTCAGTCGTGTCCAACTTTTTGCTAAGTTTAGCCACTAAAGCGTGTCCAACTCTGTGTGACCCCATGTGCTGTAGCCCACCAGGCTCCTCCGTCCATGGGATTCTCCAGGCAAGAACACTGGAGTGGTGGCCGTTTCCTTCTCTAGGGGATCTTCCCAGCTCAGGGATCTAACTGGCATCTCCTGCATTGGCAGGCGGACTTCTCACCACTGAGCCACCAGGCAAGTCCTCATAATTAATCTTTAATTAATGGTAATTTTGAATATATACCTTTTTTGTCATACAAAGGCATGGTGACTTACACAATGTGGAGATTAAACAAATATGTGTTGACTGACTGCCTTTTAACAGGACAGGATGATATTTTGTTGTACATAAATGGCCACGCTTATTTTCCTTCTGTTCTATTCATTTTCATATAAAAGTGTTGACCCTTCCTCAGTCTTCGGTTAAAACTGACTGTCTAGGCGGCTTTGCCTCATCCATTCTTGAAGTGTCAAAGCACACTGTCACTTCCCAGGTCTGTGCTTCTGTAACCCAAGCCTTCATCAAGTCATCATCTCTGGGCCATTGCCAAGACCTCCTAAATGGCTCACCTGCCGGGTACACCTTCTCCAGTCACCCCGAGACACACGGCCCTGCAGCAGAGAGCTTAGGGGTCCTGGGCAGCCAGGAATGAGTATTTGCAAAAGAGTGCTCAGTGATTACTCTTAAGAACCACCAGCCTGGGGCCAATCTCCTTAGGGAGTCTCAGTGCTCTGCCCACTCCCAAGCAGAGCTCTTCCACCTGGGCCATTCCTCTGAGCTCTCGAATCCTATGCTGACTCACGCCAAAAAATGGGAATGAGAAGAGCAACTACTTCACAGAGGTGTGAGGAGCAAAGGGGTTACTCTGATCTTCCCTGTAGCTCAGATGGTAAAGAATTTGCCTACAATGCAAGACAGCCGGTCAATCCCTGGGTCTGGAAGATCCCCTGGAGAAGGGATAGGCCACCCACTCCAGTATTCTTGCCTGGAGAATCCCATGGACAGAGGAGCCCGACAGGCCACAGTCCATGGGGTCGCCATGAGTCTACATGACTAAGCGACTAATACTACTACTACTCTAGCTACTAAGGAGTTACTCCGGGGCCAGGCACAGTGAGACTGAAAGCAGTGGCCCCAGTTACTCTGCTCCGACTGAGAGAGGCCCCCAGAAACCACCTCCGCCCCCAACAACGGGTCACAAGTCCAGTCTCACCAGTTGCTCTGACCCCGGAGTTACAGAAACCCGATCCTACAGTCACTCCCCCGCACAAGTGCCCGCCCACCCCGCCCCCCCCACCCCCAGGGCAATGGCTTTCTCCTCCAGCCCCTCCTTCCTCACCACTGTCAACACTTACCCATCTTCTGAGACTCAGCCCCTCTGTGAACGTTTCTAGTGAACTCTGCTCAGGTTCTTTCCATCCTCCTGACACTTGAACCTCAACTACCTGGTACTTGAAGTTTCCAAGTAATTGCCTCGGGATCTTTAAAAGTGGGTCTGGGATTGGGGAGGTGGGTGGATAAGATGGACGGAAATGTGATGAAGCAAAAGAGTGAAATGGTAAAAAAGTGGGAGGCCAGCTGGTAGACTACAAGTGTTCACGGTAAAATCCTATCAAGCTCTTAAGCGCTCATAAATTTTCACAATAAAACTTAGGAAAAAAAGAAAAACAATGAAACCTGCAAGTCACAGAGCCTGACTTAAGTCGGACGAAGGACCGGGCACCCCGAGGACCGCACTCCGACCCCCCTCCGCATCCCGCAGCAACAAGTGGTACCACTGCCGGGACGCGCAGCTACAGTAACGAGGCGCGCAAAGGCGCCGCGCCGGGCGACGGCCAGTGTTACCCCGCGCGGATACGAGGTAACCACGCCGCCGCCGGGCCTCGGCTGCCGCGCAGTGGGGGGACGCCGGCAGGAAGCGGAGGGGAGCTCGGCGCGGCGCCCCCCGACCCTCGCCCGGCGTCCCCCCAGGCCCCGAAAGGCGCTCGCACTGAGGCCGGAGCTGCGGGGACACAGCCACCGGCCAAGGTCAGCGGGACCATCCGGACGTCCCGCGCGGCCCCTGGGACGCGCCGGCCGCCGCCGGGCCCGAGCGGGCCTCACTCACATGTTGTTGAAGCGAAACAGATCGTCGCACGTAAAGGCCCGGAGCGTGGTCATAGCGTGGCCGCGGCCGCGGGACCGGCTGGCGGAGCCACCTCACTCGCCCCGCCGGAAGTTGTCTGACGCGAATGCCCTGGGGCGGGGCGGGGGGGAGGGGCGTGCAGAGAACTACTTCCGGGCCATGAGTTGCTCGGCAACGCCAGTCGCGACTTTGCGCCCTCTGGAGGCCGCAGCCGGGAACGCCTGTAAAGTCTGGGGTTTTCCGAGGATCTTCACTGTGAGCCACCCCGCCTCGCCGAGAACGAAACAAGACGCTGCCAGCGGGTAGGAACCCAAGGCAGAAAAGCAGAGTTCGGGATCACTTTGTGCCCCCTGGCATGTGAGGAAGGAAGCCGAGAGGAATGGGAGAACTCATGGTCCAGAGCGGCCTGTCCTTGTGATGTCAGCCGTGCATGCGACTGCAAATTTTCTAACATATTTCACAACGTAAGAGAAAGGTGGAATTAATGGCATTATTATTTTACCCAGTATATAAACAGTATTGTTTCACATGTAATCAAGTTTTAATTTTTCTTTCTTTTTTTTTTTATGATACTAAGCCTTAGAAATCCAGTGTGTATTCTATATTCGCAGCATATTTCAACTCAGGACCTAAATTGTCACAGGCAATTCTTGCCCTGTATTTAGATTTCATAAAATGTATGAATAAAAAGTGAATTGATATACCCAAATTGTTCCAACCATGCTAAGTTTTCAAGTAGCCTTTTAAAAAAGATAAAATTGTGATTCTCATACAAACATAAAATGCACACATAAAAAAACATTTTAATTCATTCATTATGAAAGAACCACTAAGATGCTACCATGGGTTAAAAGAATTTAAACCACAGAAGGCAATCAGGAAAGCTGAAATGTGTTGATAAATAGATGTACAGCTGGTCTATTTACTGTATCTCCTGGCCATGTACCATGTGTTTGTGTTTCTGTGGACAGAGATCCTTTTTATTACTGTCCATTTCCTGCAACTTACAGGGTTAACCTGGATGCATGTAGCTGACAGAAAGCAGAGTCTTTTTTTTTTTTTTTGGTAATTTCCAAATGAACTGAATTAAAACTAAATAGATTACTGAACACCAAAGAAATAAGAGTACCCAAAGATCTCCTTTACACTTAAGATACATTTTATATTACATCATATATGGGAAGATCCCCTGGAGGAGGAAATGGCAACCGACTCTAGTATTCTTGCTTGGAAAATTCCATAAACAGAGAAGCCTGGTAGGCTACAGTCCATGGGGTTACAAAGAGTTGGACATGGCTGAAGCGACTTAGCACACACATACATCATATATAGTAAATATGTTTTCAACATCTTAATGAAAATCATTAAGAAGTATTTTTTATTATAAACTTCCATTTAGGGCACTACTGTCTTTTTGTAATGAAAGATATAATGATCTTTGTCATGGTCTTTGTCCCTCCTGCCCTAGTCTCCTGATTATGTTGCTTGTAATATTGTTACATTTCTGAACTTTCATATATACAGCTGTGTTACACCTATGCATCTCCCAGTTGCTTGATTTCTTCAGTCTGTAATTGAGTGGATAGCATGCTCACTGCCACTTTTTGTTACAATTTCCTCATTCCATTCTTCATTTTGATTCATTTATGGCTTGGCTGGGTTTCATTATAGTATTTCCTTTTCCCTCTTTGCTTTGTTTTCCAGGGGCCCTGTGGGGCTGGTCCTCTGTTCCCAGACCTCCTTAGCCTGTGAGACACCTGATTAGAATATTAGCTGGATATTCATGGATTCCCATGTTCTCTCCCCACCAAGAACTTTGTAAACATCATTTTCTGTTGTTTTCCAGTGTTGAAAGTTTCTGGGGGGAAAAGAGTAAGGCCAGCAGAATATCTGTTTTCCCTTTTGTGGGTGACTTAATTTTTGTACTGGAGTGGGATTAGTCAGGACACTTCCAGAAAGAAAACATTCTTAAAAGTGCATACATTTTAAACCAACTATATCTTTGACAATTTCAGCAGTTTAACACAAATTTACAAACACACACACACACACACACACACGTCAAAGTTGAATCACTCCCACATAACCGGAGACAGCCCCTCTGGAAAAGTTTGGTTAGTTTCTTTAAAAACTATTGAGTTGGCCAAAAACTTTGTTCGGGTTCTCCTATAAGATGTTATGAAAAACCCAAAAGGACTTTTCAACCAACCCAATAAATATGCAATTACTATTTAGCCCAGCAGTTGTACTCCTGGGCATTCATCCCAAGAAGTGAAAATGTATATATACACAAAATCCTGTGCACAAATACTTAGTTCAGTTCAGTCGCTCAGTCGTGTCTGACTCTTTGTGACCCCATGGATTGCAGCACGCCAAGCTTCCCTGTCCATCACCATCTCCTGGAGCTTACTCAACCTCATGTCCATTAAGTCAGTGATGTCATCCAACCATCTCATCCTCTGTCGTTCCCTTCTCCTCCCACCTTCAATCTTTCCCAGCATCAGGATCTTTTCAAATGAGTCAATTCTTCACATCAGGCAGTCAAAGTATTGGAGTTTCAGCTTCAGCATCAGTCCTTCCAATGACTATTCAGGATAGACTTATTTCCTTTAGGATAGACTGGTTGGATCTCCTTGCTGTCCAAGAGAATTGTCATGGTTTGCATCGTTACATCGTTGTTCCCACCATCACAGTAACTCTATTTAAAAAGTACAAAGTACATTAAATGCCTTAGAGCCCCACACTGACTTAGACTTCTACGATGTGCTATTATGGTTTTCCGTTTCAGAGCATCCAATCTTATTTTTAACCTGCAGAAAAACACCATTCCTGTCCTGGCTGCACATTTTCCTGTTACAGATGACTCAGAACTTCTCATTGATCATTTCACACTGTGTACATCCTTTCTTTGCTTAGTTGGGAAAAAAACAAGTTTTTACCACATTTTATCACAAAACATCTTCCTGCTCATTGAGGATGAAACACCATGTGCTCTTGAGGATGAAACACCATGTGCTCTTCTGTAAATAATGCTGACCCAGGCTCTAATCCACCATGGCAACGTTCCACTGACATTAAACAAGCAAACAGCCTGGTGTTTCAGCCGCTGTTGCTTTTTTTTTTTTTTTCCTTCAGATCACGTGGAAAAGACCAAGTGCCCAGGAAATATGTATTTTGAGAAATCCTCGGCAATATGCGTGACAATGAAACAGCTTGGTAGTTGCCTTCAGATAAAAAATTTCTTTTTTTTTTTTAAATAAAATAACTGGATTGGATAGATGTTTTCACTCCAGCCCTCCATGGAATCAATTACTTTTAGTTTTCCTAGCTAGCTTGTACAAAAGCACTGTCCATTCATATGAAAAACTGACAACAGGTTTCAATAAAACAAGGTGAGCAGCATACATGGGCTCCCTACTAGCGCCTCACTTAAAATGAGAAGAAAAGAGCTTTAAAAAAAAAAAAAAAACTTTTAAAAGACAGAAATCCATATTAGGGGCTTCCCCGGTGGCTCAGGGGTAAAGAATCCACCTGCAATGCTGGAGACGATGGATATGCGGGTTCCATCTCTAGGTCTAGGAAGATCCCCTGGAGGAGGAAATGGCCATCCACTCCAGTAATTCTTGTCCAATCCCATGGGCAGAGGAGCCCGTGGGTTCACAAAGAGTTGGATACAACAGAGCGATTGAGCACGCACTGCACCAAATCCATAAGAATGAAGAAAATGGAGGAGGAGACAACAGCCAGTGATATTGGGCAGCACAGTTATGGAAGCTGGTAAACTCATTTAGCAATCGGAGACAAGCTAAGAGTTTAGCAACTGCTAGACAAAAAGCCTGGGGCAGGCAGTGGATTCCTAGTGCAGAATCTGCTGAGGCCCAGGATTTGGACAAGGCTGGGACGCCTGCAGGGAGAGGGATGCAGTTATATCCCCAGAGCGTCACAGGAACTGTGTTCCTGAGTTCACAGCACACAGACAGCACAGGGTGAGGGTGAGACAGGGCTAAGTAAGAGCAGGCATCCTGACCCTGCCCTCTGGAGGTCCCAGAGTGCTGGCAAGACTTAATCCCACCCTGCAACCTCCAGTAGGACACTGGAGAACTTTTCCTGGGGAAGTTGCCTGACCCAAAAGGAAAAGTCCCACAGCTATTCACATTTTTCATCCCTCCAATGAAATGACCAGGTTGTGACATGGTCACTGGGAGGGTCACCAGTTCACAAACTCTGCCCGATATCTGCAGCTCCCAACAAGCTTTGTGATGCTTTCCATTTAATTATGAATAGCCAGCCAAAAGCCACGGAACATTTCAGTACAGCCTGTAACCCCAAAAACAATAAAACAGAAAAAGAGAACTAGCATAAACAAAGATTTTTAAAAAAGAAAAAGATACTGAGGGTTTCCCTGGGGGCTCAGTGGTAACTAATCTGGCTCCTATGCAGGAGACACGGGTTCAACTCCTGATCCAGGAAGATCCCATATGCCACAGAGCAACTAAGACCATGAGCCACAACTACTGAGCCTGTGCTTTTGAGCCTGGGGGGCACAGCTAGTGAGCCCAACTACTGAAGCCTGAATGCCTGGAGCCTGTGCTTTGCCAGGAGAAGCCACTGCAATGAGAAGCCTGCATATAGAAACGAAGCGTAGCCCCTGCTCACCACAACTAGAGAAAAGCTGGCGCAGAAACAGAGAACCAGCACAGCCAAAAATAAGTAAATCTTAAAAAAAAAAAAGCTTAAAAAAATAGGTGTGCAATCTACTAGGTCTGTTACAGAGGCAGGTTCATTTCCTCTATATGAAGCAAGCCAAATGCTGGGAGATGGAGATTTGTCACAAAGGTTTATTTACAAGGCAGCCCCCATAAACCTCTTCCCCAATTCCCTTCTGGCCCCTCAACTCCAGCCCCCGGGATTGGGGGAGGGGACTGGAACCACTGCTTCCTTATACAGCTGCGGTTATTTGATGTTTTACACAATTCGCTTCTTAACCACCAAATAGATTTTAATTACATCTGTCTTCCCTGTGTTTCAAAACTGA